GCTTATGATTTCATGTATATGTGTCTGTTGCTTTTTTTTAAAAAAAAAACCCTTTTTTTTAAATTAAAGCGGCAAAGGCAAATCACCCATTCTTCAGCTTGACCAAAATCAACACAAAAATTAAAGGTAAAGTCGATCCTTGTTCTTGTAATTTTCTTTAGTTAAAAATGCCCCTTGGACATTTAGCGCGAGTGGTCAGTCATTAATGTGACTTATTATTGGAGAATAAGCCCTCATACTCTGATAATCAATGTATATACAGAGTTTAGTTGAATTGTTAAGTTCCACCCAATTCACGTGTTCTGACCATCTTGTCGCATGCTGGACTGTCAAATACAATCTTGGTATATCCAACGTTCATCGTTTGAACACTAAATTGCGTGCAAAGGAATTCAAATATTCGCAATTATGATATCCGTCAAGAGCATTGTATAGCTGTTCAGTTTTGTGGAATTGGTTGTGGCATAATCCGAGATATGTATCATGTTCAGGTATTAAAAAGGGCCATATTATTGTTTCTCCCAACTCAGTTTATATGCTAGATGCTCGGTAACGATATTGACGATACTGAAAATATGACCGATCAGTTGATTCAGTAATTGATTTCATTATTAGACATGTGGGTCATCCGTTATTTCACTTTCTTATACAACCATCTGTCAGTGAACCCCCCGAGAAGACCCGATAATATCACCATCATGTTACAATCGTTTCTGTCATTAGAAAACCAATTTTTTGTGAGAAGGAATTATGGATTTTGTAAATTAAGAGGATTTAGAAGTGTTCAATTTTCCCCTCCCCAATATACGGCCAAGGATGGAATACATGTTTCCTTTGACAGGGGTAATACTGAGGCATCAGTAGATGACAATCGGTAAGTGATTTATCAACATGTACCTAGTAGCTAACGGCGGCCAATTTACCTCTATTATTATCACCCTCGTCTATTTCAAATAGACGTGTTGTTTTATTTTTTAATTTAGTCTGTCCAGTTACAAAATGCCAAAGAGAACATCTTCAACTATACTCCGCACTCGTGAACCATCCAAACGGATTCGATCACTTACCTTCAAGGCAGTGCGGGGCAACTCAGATACTGATCGTGACCCCGAAGATTCGCCAACCACTCACACACAATCACAACCTGTTCCTTCAAGTATAGGACATTCCGAGAATTCTACACATCATATTGCTGACGTTCACAGCCTTCAGCACGATACCATTCCGGATATCATTCATGATAATAACAGTGACATTAATCAAACGATTGCACAGGCCAACCACCAGTCTATTCCAGTGATAACTCAGGCAGATTCGTTACAAGCATCAGGGGTATACGGTCACCCGGCTGAAAATAATTCAGAATTGGCAGCACAACACTTTTCAGGTATGCTTTCAGCCCCTGGGAGACCCTAAAACAAAATTTCGACAACAGAATCTATACATTCCAAGGTTCTATTAGACAAACATCAAATACAAAGGGTTGTTATTCATTTTATAAAGATTATGGGGTTTCAAACGGGGTTTAGAATATGACTCAGTGGGTGCAGGATTGTTTTGTTGATGTTTCGGTGTATATATAGAAACTTCTGACCACAATCACAAGCGCGATCCTAGCTTACGATGTAGCTTTCCGACAATTATAAATTAATAAAGAAGATAACGATACTATCTAGCATGATTCTATGTTTTGTATACGTCCAGTGTTCAATGGCGGCTGTTAAAATTGTAAAATGTCCATGCTTAATGTTGAAACTGTCCATAGTTACTATCAATAAATCGTTGTTAAATTAACCAGTGATGAAATACCTGGGCAAAAGTGGGTATCAACAGTACTGACCACATGAAATGAAATGGGGTGTAATGCTCCGCTGGCCACATGAACAAAATCTCATAATTGAAAGTGGTACCAAATGCCCGGCCTCACATATGGTACCAACCATTACTGCCGACGTGTTTTAAATGAAACGCCGAGTATTAAGTTGGACCAAATAGTAGACACGTTATGTTATTAAAGGGACAATAACACTCTTGCTGGCTTGACAGCTCCAGAAAATAAATAAGAGCCTTATTCTAAGTACTAGATGTTTAAGTGTCCTACCTGTTGTGTAAATTATCCATTACATCCTATTTTACTTGTCCAGAGGGTTCGAAAATATTTTTAAATCCAAGTCACATTTGAAAAGGTTTGCGTTAGTCTTTTCAAATCATTTAGTTGAATTTTTCCAATTTTTTAAATTAGGTGTGTTAAGATGAAATCTGTATCATCAATTAATTGGAATATTGTAAAATAGTACAATTTGTTGACCAGAATATTATTGACATATTATTCAGTTACAACAAGAGTGGTATTGAGCCTTTAAGGCCATAATAATTGAAATGTAGATTTAGTTCACGTGCAGTATGACACTTGCCACGAAGTCATTCATTATAAAACAAGTCTGCGTTGGTTTATATCTTCTAATCTAAGGATCAACAAACGTCCCGTTAGGTTCGGGTACGTAGATGCGTATGAATGAAGTCAGAATACTCACAAACATGGACTCGACTTCTAAGGCAAAGGAATATGGCGGGGTATCAGGTTCAAAATGCGATCTGCAGTAGAAAGTAGAAAATAAAAAGCAAAAGAGAAAATTCTTATCCAAAATGGACATTTTCGTGTGCGAAACATATACCGCTCGTGCTTTTCAACCTAATACGTCCACCTTTTCAACTTTAAGTCGTAAATATTCTACTTTCAACAACAGAATTTCTACTTTCAATAATCAACTTTTGACATTCGACTTTCAACTTCAGATTTTTTACTCGAGATTTTCTCCATGCATATTACGGAAATAAATTTGATCACGTGACTATTTCTGCATGTCATTAAAATACGGTATTTAAAAATAAACGATCCCAGGGAAAGATAACTCTAGTTGTAAGACTAATAAGATAAGATGGTCTCAGACTAGCAATTATTTGCCCATTGACTTCAATGTTAAATGGCTGTAACATCATTGGCTGTAGCTGTTTGCTCAACATTCCCTTGGTTCCAATCTTTATAGGCACAATGGGGACCACATTTGGCAATATTCTCATCATAGTCATAAACTTGTAGGGGGTTGACCGTTTAGATTTTTTGCTACGGGGATTTGAAGTTAACTGGGGTGAAAATCTCACTTCCGACACAATGATTGCTCTGCAGAAAGACACCTACATCCCCTATCCCTCCGCTGTAATATCATCAGTATTACCCAAAACTGCTATGAAATTGCAAATTTGATCCCTTTTCTCCAATTCTAGACCAAAAAGTCAACCCAAAAATGCAGGAAGAGAGGAGAAAAAAATTAAGGGAAAAATTGTCTATTTATAACTCGCAGTTTAAACAAATCTGTTGTTATCTAATAAACAAACATATATGAAATGCCCTGGCCAAAGATTATGAAAATCTATGCATTTTCAGATGAGCTGTGCGGCCTTCTGCAAACACTATAAAACATCAGAAAACTGCGGAATTTCAGACAGAAATTTAAAAGCACATGAATTTTGAATTAAACAGAACATTTTTATTTTTGAACATAGATGCATTCTGTAAAAAGATGAGATAAATTCAATATAAATCAAACACGAAAATACTTTAAAACAGTAATCATGATGCAATATTAGACTTTTTAACATTTTCATCGAAAACCACACAGTTTTTCTCTGTTAACATAGTTTCAAGTGCCAAATTGTGGTCAAATCTAAAATGTTGAATCATGCAGTGCCTATCAGTTTTAAAATATCTCCTATATAGCTGTATTCCCATAGGATAAGTAAATTGAAATAATCTGATTATGTAACACTACAACAGCTTTTTCATCCCCACCCCCCAGTTGGAATCTGATAATTTAAAAGCACATGAATTTTGAATTCCACAGAACATTTTTATTTTTGAACATAAATGCATTCTTCAAAACGATGAGATAAATTCAATATAAATCAAACACGAAAATACTTTAAAACAGTAATCATGATGCAATATTAGACTTTTTAACACTTTCATCGAAAACCACACAGTTTTTCTCTGTTAACATAGTTTCAAGTGCCAAATTGTGGTCAAATCTAAAATGTTGAAACATGCAGTGCCCATGAATTTCAAAATATCTCCTATATAGCTGTATTTCCACAGGATATCTAAGTTGAAATAACCTGATTATGTAACACTACAACAGTGTTTTCATCCCCACACCCCAGTATGGAATCTGATACATTGCTGACCAATAATAGGTCTCCCTGTTCACAATGGCGATGGTGCCTACAACTTTCCTGACCAAAAGATATGCACAACCGTCAACACACAAGCCATTTATGTTATCTTCAAATAAGAGAGGTCATGATAAACACAAGGGCGTCCTTTCCAAGCTCGGAAATGAAGTCATCACCAAACAGCAATGTTTACAGAGGTCGTCGGAGCTGCAACCCAAACTGATTACAATGGACAAATAATTGCTAGTCTGAGTCCATCTTATCTTAGTCTTACAACTAGAGTTATCTTTCCCTGGGATCGTTTATTTTTCTGGAAAAATACCGTATTTTAATGACATGCAGAAATAGTCACGTGATCAAATTTATTTCCGTAATATGCATGGAGAAAATCTCGAGTAGAAAATCTGTAGTTGAAAGTCGAATGTCAAAAGTTGATTATTGAAAGTAGAAATTCTGTTGTTGAAAGTAGAATATTTACGACTTAAAGTTGAAAAGGTGGACGTATTTCCCACATGAAAATGTCCATTTTGGATAAGAATTTTCTCTTTTGCTTTTTTTTTTCTACTTTCTACTGCAGATCGCATTTTGAACCTGATACCCCGCCATAAAGGAACACTATTAATCCTCATATGAATTCACCTGAATATGAATTGCTCAATGATTTCATCTCCAAATTCAATAATGCTTGTTATGTATATTGCATTTTGTAGTATCTACGGCTGAAATGATTTAAAAAAACTTCTTGTTACAGGAAATGACGATCGGTTGGCCGTAGAATTAATTGTACCACCAATTATAGCTGATCAGCACCAAGCTACTGCATTGACCGAAACTACACTTTTGCAATCATATGGATTCGATTCAGTTGTACAATCTGATGGCTACACCCTCGTTAACCCAATGGAAACAGTGTTGTACAATCAGCCACCATGTGACAACATAGACATAGAGTTAAAAATAGTTTTATCCGGGAAAACTGGAGTAGGTAAAAGTTTTCTGGGAAACTGTTTGTTGGCGAAACAGTTGTTCGAATCCCGAGTAGATTTGGATTCAATTACATCTAAATGTTCGTCCGGTACACGTATACTAAACGACGGCACGGTAATTAGGGTATTTGATACGCCAGGATTGTTTGACACTCAGTATAAAACAGCTGAATTAGTAAAACACTTGTTTTCTCTATCGTCTTTGACTGCCCCGGGACCACATGTTTTCCTGTATGTGCTGAGAGCTGATGATAAACTTACAATAGAAAACAGAGATTCTATTAACCTGTTTTATGAAATATTTGGAGCCGAGGTAAATAAGTATGTGATTTTTGTCTTGAATAGAAAACCAGTGGAGATAGACGCAAACAAACTTATTGACAAGTGCGAATTTTTGAAAACCATTTTGAAAGAGTGTCATAATAGATATGTGACTATAAATTTTGCTGACAGAGACACTGGTGTTGAGAAGTGTGTTGACAATCTTCTACAAATGATCCTTGACACCGTTAGAGACAACCATCTAAAATACTATTCAAGTGATGTATTCGAAGAAGGCGAACGCTTGTACAATGAAAAACAAGAATTAAAGAAACAACAAGAAGATATGCAAATCCAGCTGGCAGATAAAGACAAAAAAATAACCGAACTGAAACATCAACTATCCTTACAAACAGGTTACACAATCTCCATTTTTATATGCATTATCCAAACTATCAGTTCTCTATACAATTAAAAGAGTGGATGAAGACGAACTGCTTGTCACTCTCAGTGACACTCGTGGATATATAGAGAATCCCCTACTCGTCTTTTTTGATATCATGCAAAAAATATCAACACAAGTTGATAAAGTAACAAAAAACGAGGCTCTGCCGTGTTTTTTTTTTAATTTATCAACGAGTGTTGATATTTTTTGATATCAAAAAAGACGAGTAAGAGATTTTATTTATCACCCAATCCTTTCTTACGTGCACAAATAAATAAATATAATTCTTTGCTATAGACTTCACTTTTACTGAACCTGATTACGTTTCTGCGTAGCGATACATCATTTTTTGACAGCAATTCAACGACTGCAAAGTCCTTTATATTGACCCAGTGTTTCCATCAAAGTCAATTAAATAAAAATAATTCAATTTTAATAAAAAAAAAAAAAAAGGAGTTACTTTTAATAAAAAATGAACTGTTCTTTGAAAATACAAAAAAGTAGTTCCTTTTTAACTGACCAATCAAATTCATGATATCGCAGTAGATTATGAAATTTATCACACAAGCGATATCTACTGTATTATTGGGTGATTAATTATCTTCATACAATTTGATTTCCTGATTCTCTGAAACGCAATAAACATAACATGTTCCTTAATTATCACACCGACTTGCCTATGGTCAAAAACATTTATATGCCGTAATTGAATTCCTTTGGACACTTTTTAGAATTTACTTATCATTGACTTGTATTTCTAATAGCTGGTGCTTCCATAACAATAATGCCATTTACATATTAATAGAAAACAATCTGATTGGTGATCATTTGAGGTGATATGGATCTAAACTTTATGTTTAGGCTTTTATGTTATATACTTCTAAATGTGGTACATGTATTCAAAATTACTCACATTTCCTTACAGGCTATATAAAGAAAGAATGTGGCCGAATGCGCGACCAGGATTATGACAAAATACAGAGTAAATTTTCCTTTCTTCTAAAAAACTTGAATAATCCACTGGATTTATGTATTGCATTATTTAGTAGAGGAGTATTCAACTCAGATGATAAATATCAAATAGAGGCAATACAAGATAGGGGAAAACAATGTAACAAACTTTTGACGAAAGTGTTGGATGAATGTGGCCCCAACGTATTTCCAAAATTCATAGATGCACTTAGTTCTACAGGACACAGTCATGCGAGGGCGGTATTACTGGGAGAAAAGTTTCCGGTTTATTTCTACTGAATAGTAAAGTATGTATAAAATGGCGTTAGTATGGTGGCTGAAAGCGTCCATTTAGATCGGCGGGTTTCTAGATACAACGCGAGAGTCGCCGTTAAGCCAGCACGACGAAAAAGGCGCCGATCGGCGACTTTTTCGTCGTACTACCTTATCGGCGACCCGCGACTTTCACAACACGAGAGTCGCCGTTAAGCCACGCGCCGAAAAAGTCGCCGAAAAAATCGGCGCCTTTTTCGGCGACTTACTTAACGGCGACTCTCGCCTCGGAAGTTTATAGTTAGTTACATGCGCAATGGCTACATTTTACGCACACAGATCACCAAATATTTCTACGCCGTAATGTAGGGCGAAAGTTATTTTTAGTCTTTTTCTCCCTTTCCCTTTTCCTCCTTTTGAATGGCGATTTTTGGTGTAGAATCGAAGAAAGGGGTTTGATAATACATTTTCTGCCAGGTTTTGGTGAATATTCATGATTTTGAGAGGTCGGTTAGGTTGAAATGTAGGGCCGAAAATTGCATGTTTACTTGTCCCTACTTCCAGCTTGTGTATTTCAAGTTTTTCATGGTAAACCTCATACATGCTTTTGTGCAAGAGTTTGCCACATTTTGCTCCATCTGTGGCAGAAAGTAGGCTAGCCTACAAGTCCTAACTCATCCAAAAGCTCCTCCATTTTATATACAAGAAGTAAAATGTATCCTAACTCATCCAAAAGCTCCTCCATTTTATATACAAGAAGTAAAATGTAGCCATTGCGCATGTAACTAACTATAAACTTCCGAGGCGAGAGTCGCCGTTAAGCAAGTCGCCGAAAAAGGCGCCGATTTTTTCGGCGACTTGCTTAACGACGACTCTCGTGTTGTGAAAGTCGCGGGTCGCCGATAAGGTAGTACGACGAAAAAGTCGCCGATCGGCGCCTTTTTCGTCGTGCTGGCTTAACGGCGACTCTCGCGTTGTATCTAGAAACACGCCGATCTAAATGGACGCTTTCAGCCACCATACGTTAGTCTGTAAAACTATTTCCTGTAGTGGACTAATATTAGAAATATTTAGGCTCACATTACCGTGTTCAGCATGCAAGGATCAATTGATCCCCGGAGCCAAGTATCAAATTAAAACAAACATAATGAATAGAACTTTGAAGTTCTTAAAAGAAAAGAACTAAGAAACGCCTCATTTGGGCCGTCAATCATGTCATCTTTAGCAAACATCAGGATTGAGAAACTGAGGCGTGTTCAAGCCTTAAATCGTGGCAGCTTCTTAGTTGGCTCGCTTAAGACAATGTCTGTCAGTTCATCATTATGTAATAATTCAGACTTTGAACCAAAGAATTGGAAGCTATTATACTGAGGTAAATAAAGGGGGGTGGGGACTTTAGCTTTAGGATATGCGGCAGACAACCTCTATACGCCATCAGTTTATGTGCTGACTTCACTCATTGCCTATCGGTTAATCCGCCTCGGTGGAGAGTTCCCCTTATAAAGCATCATAGATCTTTCAAGTTGTTGATCCCAATAAAGATATCTTCTTCCCTCCACGCGTCCCATCGTCTGGATGAGATGAAAACCCGAGATCCCGTGTAAACGTTGGCGTGTACGCAAAACACACCTTGAAAAATAAAACTTTCAGTCACAGTACGTGGTGTGGCGTGTGCCCGTCAGCATTAATGGAGACGAGAGAGAGAAAGATAAATGGGGTTTGGCGTCCACTCGGCACAAACTAGGTCATTTCGGGACTAACATATGGTTTAATTTTATTTCAATAATTCGCTTGCACGTAGGGGTCTTTAGCAGTGGGAGGAAACCGGAGGTTAGACAAGCGACCCTAGTCCTTGTCACGTACAACCGGGGATTCGAAACCACGCCAGTTGACTCAATGACAGGCCGTATGATACAGCACGCACGTGCTAACCATTCGGCCACCCAGTGAAATAATATGGAGTGTAAACCTTGGCGTGAACCTAACAGAATCCATGAAAGTTGGAATTATAAATAAAAGTAGGCCGTCTTCGTTAGCCGAGGTGGATCAGAAACGTAAGACGTGTTTAAAAAACCCATTTTATTTCCAATTCATTTAATTCACACCATTTAACCTTTATTACAGATATACACGAGGAGGACTGTGGGAATCCAAGTAAGTATACACCATCTGTAATTATATCCCCGTGTTCTGTAGCATGAATTGGTTTACAAAAGGGCTGCTTCTGTTGGGGTTTGGGGCGGGGGTCTTATACTTATGCCTTGTTTTTATTCATTCCGAATGAAATGAAGTGGGTGATCAATAGGTCTTTATAGATGACGTATTACGCCGTTACACTGTCTGTAGAGGATCTATTTTTTTCAAATTTGGTTGGAGGCAATGTTACGTGGTCAAAGGTGGATGAATCCTATCGTTTCTCAGCGTTCCGCGACTTGCCGTTCCGGAATTCCGAAAACTTTGTGAACGCAAAGTAGACTACAGTTTTGAACGAATACTGCTGTGTGGGCGTGTTTCTACTCTTTTATATAGCTCTCATATTATCATTTTGATTTTTAGGACATTGTGTTACAAATATGACTTTGCCAGAGACTGACTTCCATCCAGATTACAATAATCGTAATAGCCAACAGTTCATGTATTTAGCGAACCACCTGGGAAATGCTATGGTGAAGGAGGTAAAACGTCATGGTTCGGGAGAAACTTGGGCTATTGTAATAGATATAAGGTATGTTGCATTATAATGAAAAGACCTCTGACATTCAAAATCGTATCCATCTTTATAATCGATGAGCCAGATTTTGTATGAATATTCTTAACACACAAATCCATTTATAGTTTTGGACTAACTGTCCATTACATCTAGTTTTTATCAAGTGTGTAATTAGATATTACAATTTGACACCTAAAAAATGGCAAGAAAACGTTTGTATGTGTTTATTTAGGTGTACTTTATAATTGATCTATAAACAAAATCCTAAATGGTTGTGTTAAGACCCTATTATGAACATATAGTTATGGGCCTTGTTTCACTTTGTTGCACCCCGGGGACGCTCTAACAACGAAAGTTGTCATCCGATATGTATGAAATTTATATGCATCATTTAAATTCGTGAAACGAAGAAGCCTATTCAATTTCGCCCATTTTCTTTTATTGCGTCTAGAGTTATGGCCCTTGTATCACTTTGTTGAACCTTAGGAATGCTCTAACAACGAAAGTTATCATCCGATATGTATGAAATTTATATGCATCATTTAAATTCGTGAAACGAAGAAGCCTATTCAATTTCGCCCATTTTCATTTATTGCATCTAGAGTTATGGCCCTTGTATCACTTTGTTGAACCTTTGGAGCGCTCTAACAACGAAAATTATCATCTGATCTGTATGAAAGTTACATTATGCATCATTTAGATTCGTGAAACGAAGACGCCTATTTAATTTCAGCCATTTTCATGTATTGCGTCTAGAGTGATGCCCCTTGTTGCACTTTATTGAACCTTGTGAACCATCTAACGATAAAAGTTAATAGCCTATCCTATCGGTATTGAATTAGTGAAACGAGGAATCCTATTTAATTTCAGCAATTTCTGGCAAATACTTCTAGAGTTATGGCTCTTTTTATACGCCCACATTGAAATGTGGTCGTATATTGCCGTCGCCCCCGTCCGTCCGTCGATCCGTCCGTCCGTCCGTCCGTCCGTCCGCCCATCGTCCACAATTTCTTGTGAACACTCTACAGACTACATTTATCATCTGATTTTTTTGAAATTGATATATGTTGTTTGCTTTGCTGAGATGAAGAAGCCTATTTAACTTCCGCTCATTTCTTCTGGAGTTATGGTCCTTGTTTCACTTTGTTGCACCTTGTGAACGCTTTAACGAAAAAAGTTATCAACCGATCTGTATGAAATTTATATACATCATTTTAATTAGTACAAAAAAGAAGCCTATTGAATTTCGGCAATTTCCGTTGATTACATCTAGAGTTATGGTCCTTGTTTCACTTTGTTGAATCTTGCGAACGCTCTAATGACAACAGTTATCATCCGATCAGTTTGAAATTGATATGCATCATTTAAATTAGTGAAATGAAGAAGCCTATTGAATTTCAATAACTTCCGTTAATTTCAACTAGAGTTAAAGTCAGTGTTTCACTTTGTTGAATCTTGTGAACGCTCTTATCATCCGCTCTGTTTGAAATTGATATGCATCATTTAAATTAGTGAAACGAAGAAGCCTATTGAATTTCAGCAATTTCCGTTAATTACCCCGTGAGTTATGGCCATTGTTTCACGTTGTTGTACCTTGTAAATGCTCTAACGACAAAAGTTATTATCCGATCTGTATGAAATTTATATGTATCATTTAAATTAGTAAAACGAACAAGCCTATTGAGTTTCAGCAAATTTCCATTAATTACATCTAGAGTTATGGCCCTTCTTTAACTTTGTTGAATCTTGTGAACGCTTGAACGACAAAAGTTATCACCTAATCTGTATGAAATTCATATGCATCATTTAAATTAGTGAAATAAAGAAGCCTATTGAATATCAGCAATTTCCGTCGAGTTATGGCCCTTGATTTACTTTGTTGAACTTTGTGAACGTTCGAACGACAAAAGTTATCATCCGATCTGTATGAAAATTATATGCATTATTTGAATTCGTAAAACGAAAAAGCCTGTCGAATTTCAACAATTTCTGTAGATTACTTCCAGAGTTACGGCCCTTGTTTTAGTTTTTAGAATCTTGTGAACCCTCAAGCGACGAAAATTATAATGTCATCTGTATGAAATTGTCTATTAAATTCCCCTAATTACCTACGAAAAAATAAATATGTGACAACCCTTGTCGACTGGATGGACGATTTAGCTGCTGTGGGCGTATGTTTTGTTGCCTGGCAACCTATCTTTCACTTTGTTGAAGCTCGTGAACACTCAAATAGCAACAGTTATTATTCGATCTGTATGAAATGTATATGCATCATTTCAATTAGTGAAACGACGAATTCTACTGAATATGGGTAAATTAATTATGACCCTTGTTTTACTTTGTTGAACCTTGTGAACGTTCGAATGACAAACGCGAATGCATTATTCAAACTGGTAGAATGACGAAGCCTGTCGAATTTCAACAATTCCTGTACATTACTTCCATAGTTAAGGCCATTGTTTCAGTTTGAACAACCTTGTGAACCCTTAATTGATGAAAATTATAATCTCGTTTGTATGAAATTGTCATGTAAATGCCGCGAATTATCTACAAACGAATAAATATGCGACAACCCTTGTCGACGTCCGTGCGATTTAGCTGCTTTTTCGTTGCCTGGCAACCCATCTTACACAAATGTAATCAATTACCGAGGTTCTTCTATATATCTTTTAGGAAAGGATCAATAATAGTAACCTTTGTCTTTACTACCTATCCGAAGACTAACAATATAAATTTACAACCAATCCTGGAACAAATTTTGGAATCAGGATATATTGGTCCATATAAAGTGTCAAGAGACCATTTTTCATTTTGTCGAATTGGAGGTAAATATCACTCTTTTATCCTAGATTAGAACCCACTCGTAAATGTTCTTGTAACTAGATTCAGTCTGTAAGCTAAACAGGGTCGATCTTAGTAGATGGATTGTATCAAAGTTGACCCAATCGGATTAAAACACAGATCCTATTTCGCTTCGTTTTTTATAGTTTAAAATTTCATTTTACTTGTCTTTACTACACTAGGATCTGGAAGAGTTGTTATATATCCCGCAACGGTCTGTTGCAGCGAGTTCTTTGCGTGCGATGCACCGAACTGTGGGTATCCCACTAGAAACATCAACGCTGATTGATTAATCAAAATGTCTGACGTCATTGGTTCAAAAGCCACTCGTAAGACCCCTGACGCGACCTCCCCCTACAACTGGTCAGAAACAAAATATTAATCTGTACACACTTAATTCCTGATTACTGGATACATAAAGTGATGTTTTATTTTTAAGACTGGCAAGGGATACCAGACCAAAGAAAAGAAGACATATTATGTCAGAGTAAAGATACACCCGAACAAATGTAAGTGTACATTAATATTGCTATGATATGATGAGTGTAATTTTGAACCAACCCATTCTTAATTTATTTGTGAGATTATTATACAATCAGTTTCAAATGTTCTAGTCGAACTGGGACGCTAGATTCCAGGTAGGACTTTTCCTACTTGATATTGACCAACATTGTTATAAGAAGTGTTCTTCTCTGTTTCAAACACCTCTAAAGTTCCTCCACGCTACATATCTTAATGATCATATTGAAGAAAGTTATAAAATTGCTGTGTTCACTGCCTCTATTTAACTACAGAGAAAAGATGGCAAGTCATTGGCATGTTGAATTCTGAGTTGCCAATTAGACAGATTGAACGGCAGTTGGGTGGCCATCCCTCAACCATTTGTCGACGACGCTTATTACGAAAACATCAACAGATTTATGACGTTAAGGAATGTAAACATTCTGTTAGGCCTGGTCCTACGTCTGCTATAGACGTTGTAGCACTTGTTGGGGTTCAATTACTGTCTTGAAAAGGGAACGGTTACCGCACCGCCCTCTACCCCACAAAACTGTTCGTAACCCGCTCAAATTGTCTGGGTATAGTGCTCAGAGATTTATCAAACGATCTCTTTTGTCACATGACCAGAAGGCTGCACAACTAGCATGATGTCGAGCATGTCATCATTGGAACATGGCGTCATGGGAGTTAGTTTCTATTGTCCACGACGGATGATAGAAAACGGGTAAGGAACATAACATAGGCTCATCTGTATGGACGGCAGCGCTACATCTCACCGTGCGCAGGCCGTTGCTGATTTTCTGCGTCAGGAGGCCGTGGCTACACTACTTTGGCCTGAATCCCATTGAGCATATCTGGGACATTCATAGGTGCAAAAATCCACCGTGGAATGCACCAATGCTGCAGCATTACGATGAGGACCAGGCACTGTATCAAGGAATGGAACAACGTAAAGCAGACTCAGATCTGAGGTCCCGTTCTGTCAATGAATTGAGTTCAACAGGTCACCATGGACACCAGATATCACAGATTTAACGGCTATATGGAGAACTTGAACATGAAATTAAATTAGTTGAACTGTAGTATTTCCTGATGACCTGTATCAGCCATAGCTGTTGGACTTGGTTTCACCCATTTTTCGCCTCCATTTTCAGAGAGAGAGAGAGAGAGAAATGGGGTTTAACGTCCACTCGACACAAACTAGGTCACATGGTTCAATTTTATTTCAATAATTCGCTTGTGTGTAGGGGTCTTTGGCAGTGGGAGGAAACCGGATGACCCGGAGAAAACCCACGAGGTTGGACAGGCGACCCAACTCCTTGTCACGTACAACCGGGGAATCGAAACCCCGCCAGTTGACTCAATTAGTCAGCACGCTCGTGGTAACCATTCGCCCCCCCCCCCCCGCCTCCATTTTGAACTCGACAACATTACATAATCCTCCAAAACATAAAAAAGGTAACATATCTGATCAAACACTTGCACTATATTCAAATGTGGTGTTGTGTAGTAATATCGTTGTTGCGACATTGTTTTTAAATTTATAGACAAGGAATATAGATATAAGATGGTTTAAACAATATTTGTATCTTTACAAATTATTCTCTATGGTCAGTATATTAGCTATGGTATGAGTTTATTTAAAACGCAAATTAATTGTTTATGAAATAGCGTGAGAATAACAGGAAAGAGGGTCTAAGTTCAAGGATAGATTGTGTCAAAAAAAAAACCCCATGTGACTGGAAATTTACCTATTGCGTCATTTGGTTTAGTTTGACCAATCACATGATTAATTACATTATAATTAGCCAATAGAATAATTAATGGGTGTTAATCTGAGAATATATAATTAATAGAATGTGCGTTCTAGGGTAGACAGACATGTGGTTCTCGTAGGGAGAAGATGTTGGAATTTCCATCATCAGACTTGCCGCATGAGAGCGGGTTAGAGAGAATGTCTTTATTCTACTATGCATTGTACTATATGTAATCAGCTATGTAAATAGTACTGTTGCATTGTTATTCCTGGTAAGACAAACGTCTTAAGAAAACAGTAAGAAGTAAATACACAGCGTGAAGCAGAAGCAAAGACAGCTAGAGACAAATTCTAGACGTTCACAAGGCTACTAAGATATGTAGTTAGAAAAGATGCAGGGGTCATACGTAGGATGTGGCGACCGGTTTTCCCACGCCAGCTCTCCACGTCTGACAGAAGACTCGTGGTGCTACAGTTGAGATACGTTTTCTCTTTTTATAGAGGGTGTTCATTTTGAGATTTTCCTTTCATTGTTGGCGTCTTACGTCTGATAGAAAAATTGCTTTTATCAAAGCAACGAACAGTTTTCTGATTAGATAAACAGAAATAAATTGGCCTTGGCAATAATTTAAAATATCTTACTTTCCATTATTTTCAGATTCTGGAATCGTTTACATCGAGCTAAAGTCGATGGGAATATCCTAGAATTTATAAAGACAATATCACTTGAAAAGAGAAAATCGGACCCGGAGCATCTAGTTTATTCTGGGGAATATCAAACTAACCTTCTTAGCATTGTAAATGAATTATTAGATCACGATGTAGATGTAAATCAGCAGGATGAAATAGGTAACACACCAATATTCTATATAGAATGTTTAGCGAATAGAGATGATGTGTCACTAACTTTAATACCCAACTTAATAAATGTTCTAATTTCACACGGTTGTGATGTGAATCACCAGAACAACCAAGGGCTGACGCCTTTGATGTATTTTATAATGAAACAGGTCAGGGTTGATATATTAAGACTTTTAATTACAAATGATGCCAAAGTAGATATATATGATAGCCATGGTAAGACAGCTTATATCTACTGTATTCAATATCGTAAGCATGACTGTATTTGTGTCTTCAAACTGTTAGACATTGCAGATACCAATCGTTCGGCTGGGAGTCATGTTACATTACTTCATCAAATACTCAAATGTAGAGGACTAGATATTTTCAAATATTGTATAGGTTTAAAACGGCTTTTTAATGGAGTTACCGATGAAGGAGAGAATATGTTTCATCTTTTGGCTAAAGTCAATTACGACTATTCTGTAGCCAAGTCCAATTGGCTGTTTGATAAGGATGTGGATATAAACCAGCAATGTTCGAAAACAAACACACCTATTATGGTAGCTTCGTTCTTACTAAACAGGAAATATTTAGAAGTATTAACACGCCACCCAAAGATAGAAATAAATTTACAGAATAATAAAGGCCACACAGCACTTCATCTGTGTATAATAGGGTTTGCTATGTTAAACGATGGTCTTAATAATAGGCAGTTAAATGATGTTGTTCATAAATACTGTCGACAAATGTATCCAGTTTACTTGGAATGTATAAATATTTTACTGCAGACTGCTGATATAGACGTCAATATTCAAGATAAAGGAGGTAGAACTGCTTTGATGATGGCAGCTTCGAAAAATGATCTACAGATAACAAGATTATTACTTCAAGCTGGAGCTAAGGTTAACATATTGGATTATTCAGGACGAACGGCTCTACAATACCTGAATATCTATAAAAGTATTTTTGACCTGAAATGCTTCAAATTATTACTATCTTGTGGCGAATTTGAGATTCTTGATTTGCCTTGCATCAATGGCAACACAATCCTACAATCTGCGTTACTCTTTCCAATTTTCTGGAATCCCAAAAAAGTTGTAGCGTTCATTCAATTCTTGATAGCCAAAAATTGCTGTGTCCAAAGGCTTGTAGCACAACATGGTGAAAGTAGCTATACTTTAATTGAATTGGATGAATGTCCTGAAATACTGCAGTTGAGACGACTTCTTTATTTAAGTGGGGCACCCAGGGACCAAATTATATCCACTTTACAATTTGGGAAGAGCGCCAACTACTCCGAAGAGAAGGTTGATACGTTTTACAACTTCTGCAGCAGCCTGTCTTTAAAATCATTGTGTAGAAGAATTATCAGAAAGGAAATGGGCACCAAAATAGAATCGAAATTTCTAGAATTACATCTGCCATACGAATTAAAGGAATTTATTCTATTAAAAGACTGTCTACATCCTAGAGATTATTCCATTGATTTTGCTTTGTCTGAACTGGTTGGTGAGTATAGTGACGATGATTATGATTCGTATGATTTTGACAATGAATACGATGTTTATGATGATGTCAGTGTACTAAAAGCAACAAGCGTACCGTCACTTAAAACACGATGTAAAGAGAAGATTAGAGAGATGTTTACCAATGAGGATATTTATAATTTACCAATGAGGATATTAATAATTTACCAATGCTTCCCCCGCCGCTTAAGGGATTTCTTACTACTGAAGACGTGTCAAGTGATATCGCTAAGATTGACCCTCGTACCTATAATTATAAATATTACAGTCTTGAATAGGATATGATGATTATTCCGATGTATCCATCAACAAATGATTAATTAATTAAACATTGTTTAAATTTGCATTATTTAAGATTTAGATAAATAACTGCTCTCTAATAGTTTAAAAATAGGGAATGGGCGAAGTTATGAATTTTGAATGTTTTCGTCAGAATAGCGTAGTCTCGATTTTCATTGATACCACTGTAACGATAATAAACAAAGTCTTGATTATCATTTTTATTTAATTAAATCATTAAATGGCGATCGCGACCATTCAATAGGCTAGAGAATGGATTATGAGCTTGTCACGAGAATAAATGTCTAATTAATAATTTATATAACATTTGCAATTTAAAGGAAAAAATTTCAATATGCAGATTTAGATGTTACCTAATGCATATTTAAGGCAAATTGTTTTGAATTTGACGGGTTAAAGTTCGTTAATCAAATGTCAAAAAGTGACGAAAAAGCTTATGTTACTCAAAATAATGCGCCAGTTAACAAGCATCGCCAAAACAGTCTATTGGGGTTCTCTTTCAGAGTAATTACAACTCCGCAATAATCGACACATTTCTATTATTCAATAGAAGTATATTTGAATAAAAAACGGAAGTATAGCTAGATGTTGTCACTCAGTACACGTGTTAATTACAAACCGATTGATATAACGAAAATTTATTTAAAAAAATCACACAAAAGACAATTCCCTAAATGACATAACAATTAGCTGTTTGAATAAAAGCCATTTGGATGCAATAACAGATGGTGATTTCCGATTAAAATAAATTAAAATATTCCTAAGTAAAGATGCGTAAAATAATATGAATAATAGTTTTGTAAACTATTCGATTGAGCGTTTGTATATTTTGTCCCCTGTCTATTATAATCTAATACTTGGAAACGTTATACATTAGAATATACCAACGCTGTTCTATATATTTGTTATTAATTTGAATTGCGTACAAATAAGTGGACCTAAATCTATTTCTTTTAGTATATTATATTATTGCTCTTCAGTTCTTATATTTTTAGTTTAGATATTTTAGTTTACGTTTTCAAAATATTATTAATATTGAGTATGTATGTCACTAATGCAACATATCTATTTGTATTTAAATAGTCTTAATACTAAACAAAATTGGGGATTTATGTTATATTTTTAAATGTTATATAAATTATGTTATGCTGTGTTATATAGATTTGATAAGTCTGACCTACAAATTCTCTGTTAGATAATAGTTATTTAATTTGTTTTGAAATGATGAATAAACAGGGTGTTGTTCAGTCGTATTATGGTATATAAAATGCCATTTAGAGCCAAGGTCTGTTGACTATATTAGCAACATGGTGTAGCGTTTCCTGAATAAAGAGGGGTTCAGAGAGACGAAAGACATTTTCATTTGTTAATTACAATGAATTAAACCCCCAACAACATATCTCTTGAAGCAGCACATGGACTTTTCCTTCCAATTTTGTGTCACATAATCAACAAATCTCTCTAACCCGGCCTATATTCAAAGCAATCATGATACCTCATTTGAAGAAACGATACTTGGGGACCAAGACAACCTGAAGAACTACCGCCCGGTCAGCAATCTTAGTTATATTTCAAAGCTTATTAAAAGGTCTGTTCTACTTCAACTAAATGATCATATGCTCAGCAATCTTCTGGACAACCGTCTTTAATCTGCCTATAAAGAATTTCATAGCACCGAGACAGCATTACAGAGCCTTGGGCAAGCAGCAATGTATCCCATTAGTCCTACGTGACCTTTCCGTTGCTATTGACAACCTGGACATTCCTGATCTATTAAAATCACTGTTGAATGACATTAGGTTACGTAGAATGGTCTACTTGTGGTTTAAATGTAACCTTTCGAGTCGTAGCCAAACAGTTAAGATAGATTGAACCGTGTCAGATACCTTGGACATGCTCTGTGGTGTCCCCAAGGGGTTCAGTTCTAGGCCCTGTCTTGTGTATAATTTTTACCAAACCAATGAATAGAATCGCCGCCAAATATGGGTTAGAAGCACATGCATTTGTTGATGACTCGCAACTATGATTCAATGTCTCAGGAAACATCAGTGGACGCAATAGAATCTTGTCTCAAAGATCTATACCCCTGGATGGCCATGTACTTCCTGAAACTTAATCCGGTCAGAAAAATGGAATTCCTAGCACAAAGCAACAAATTGCCAAGCTCAAATCAACACAGCTGCAATTTGACAACCCGACCTTCTAACCATCAGCATCAACCAACAACATCGGAGCAACGTTGGATTCAACTTCAATAACTTCAATAAACACGTCTAATCTGTCTGTTCAACAGTATTTTATTATCTCCAGAATACGCCAGGGTAATTCACGAGACTCATTCATGCCTTTATATCATCAACGTTGGACTGCCACAATGCACACTACTCTACAATATACCAGACTATCAAATCCAGAAAATTTAGCATAATTATATAGAACTCATCAGCAAGACTCTTAACCAAAACCCCTTTAACACCGGTTCTTTCTAATTTACATTGACCTCCTATGAAAAAGCGAATTATCTTCAAAATCGCACTCCTTACATACAAAGGAATAAATGACAAAATGCCGAACTACATGAAGGAAATTTTCAAACGCCATGAATCCAGTCAAGGACTACGTATGGGTTACTAATTAAAATTAAACAATCTAAATCTAGCGAAACATTTAAGTCAGCATTGCAAATCTATCTTTTTCAAAATAGTGTTACGTGACCAACGAGAATATACTTGATAGCCCATTATGAACTAGATTTTTAGTAATCATGGGCTGAATAAATTCTAGTTATTATTATTATATTAATCTCATAGATGTTGTAAACTTTGTACCCTGCTTGATATAAAACGTATTTAAGAAGAACAGTTGTTTTCCTGAGTTATTCTGAAGATATTTTGGAAGTCATATTTAGTCCGTGGACAGGTCTATTCCCAAGTCCCATTCTTGTACAGATAGTTTAAGCATCGAATTTGCTAAGCATTGTACTTTAGCTTCCATATTCGACTAGCTATGCTAAATTGGTAAGATTCTATCAATAAACTTATGGGTTCAATTCAAATGTGCTGAATTCGAATAAATTTGAACGATTTTGAGATGCTGTATGGTTAGTAACCAGGTTAGACGAGACTGGCTGATTCTACCAGCTAATAAAAGACGCAAATAAAAGGAAAAGTAGGACAATGCATCCCACATTATTTTGCTGATGGGAGTGATAATACCTGTTCTTTTCTCCACCCCATATACCCCACCCTATAAACTCGCTGATTTAACAATTGTGTAAGAGAAACATCCCATCCATTTCGCTGATGAGAGTGATGAAGCCTCTTTAATTGTGTCCTCCCCCCCCCCCCCATTTACATTAAAGAAACAGGGAGATTCGATATCATCTTTATCAGTTGTCATTCATTAGAATATTTGCACATACGGAGAGTTTGTGATGATTTTAAATTAAACACACGACTATCAGTACAGATTAAGGAGTCAATGTTCTGTTCAGTCCAGGTTGTCATCATCCTCGGTGTCCCCAGTGGACAGTGGTATCATTCCGTTCCACTTCTCTAACCTTCGTAGATAAAAGGGAGATAACTCGCATGTTGTTCCAGCAATCCGAATTTTTGTGGTACATATTGTTTTGCTTGTATGTCACATTTTTGCTACCACATGGCTTGAAAACGTTCTCATAATCGAGTGTACAAGCCGCTATGCTGTTAAGCACGTACACAATGGCGCTAATGAGGATTTGTAAACCGCTGTTTAATTGGTCCGTATCATTAAACCACGTGGCCAATGGAATTATATTTTGATTCCGTGATTACTTCGTGAATGTACCCAGGAATTGGTGGAGTAGAACGGAATGATAAAACTGGAAATTTCATTCATAGCACACTATGTCCGGTATGCAGACTCTAATTATAATTTTACATACGTGATTGAAATGGCCTGACAAGGACAGCTGTCTAATCCTTCGGATGAGACGAAAAACCGAGGTCCTGTGTATACATTGGAATGCACGTAAAAGATTCCTTGGCAGTTGGAATTCGATATATTACAAAAGTGGGTGATAGTGCCGCTGCCCTGGCAAAATTTCCCTCATAGCACACTGTATATGGCGTATGCCCGTCTTCATTAGCCCAGTATAGGAGCAGAACAGTAGGACGTTAAACCCCATTTCATTTTATTGAAATGGTTAAACAGGATCTAAATTATAACATAACGATCTTTGTCATAGTTTATCTTTACGTTTTTAACAAATATTATGAAGGTTCCGAGAGGAATGCAAAATCGATAAATCTGCTATTGAACTTGATAGCGTAAACAGTCACACAGACGCCCACGTCTGAATGGTCCTAGACCACTCCTCGAGAAGTTTTGTTCAAAAATAAGACGTGCTTACTTAAATTATAACAATTCCTATTTTGTTTTAGTTCGTGATATATGAGAACGATCATGTTTGGTTTGTAGTAAAATAAAATAAAGACATGTGAACACATTGTATGTTATATTGTTTTATTGTATATCATGCTGTTTTATAATATAATACAGTAGTTTATATACAATATTGACGACATTTTATAATATAGGACATATTATGTACATTATAGTTACATCAGAGGATATATTTATTTATACAGGGAACACAGTGTATCCCAGCAAACACATTACGTTGCGACGAGAGTATTCTAATACTTTCTTTAAATAAACCTCTGTCGGAAACAATAAGTCAGTATTACGGGGAAGTTATTTTGATGTAAAATACGTAGTAAGGGGAAGCAATCTTACTGAGAAATCAATATTAAGGGAAAAAATCTTGCTGAGAAACTAATATTAAGGGGAAGTAATCCTGTGGAAATGATAAAATATTTGACTGTGTTAAGTATCTAAACCATTAGCTAAAATATTTGCAAAAAAAAACATTCAATAATAAAGACGAATTCTCTATTTCTGGCGCAGTGCCCTTTTCGATTTACTGCCCTATATAACACACCATACAGTAACAATAATAACATGACAAACATATATTTTATTTAAAGCAAATTAGTTGATATATTGAAATATCATAGCACCATTTAGTTACACAACATATAGTTTATATACAATTAGAATAACTAGTTCTTACATCGATTATACACAGTCCTACTGTTATACCATCAGTAATGTGAGTAGTGGGTAGCATCTTACTGTACTACCATCGGTGATATACAGTAGTGAGTGTGTTTCCTATTGTAATACCATCAGTGATGTACAGTAGTGAGTGGGATTCTACTGTAGTACCATCAGTGATATACAGTAATGAGTGGGATCCTAATGTAGTACCATCAGTGATATACAGTAATGGGTGGGATCCTAATGTAGTACCATCAGTGATGTCCAGTAGTGAGTGTGATTCTACTGTAGTACCATCAATGGTGTACAGTAGCGAGTAAGCGTGCAATTGTAATACCATCAGTGATGTACAGTAGTGAGTGGGATCCTACTGTACAGTAATGAGTGGGATCTTATTGTAGTATCATCGTAGTATTGGCTTTAGTATATAATGTACCATGCTATCAGTTGTCTAGTTTATATACAATATTTAATGTCTTTATAAATAAACATCTCTGAGTGTAAAAATCGCCATTTTTAATGTGTTTGTCTGTATGTTGACTTTTAGTTGTCAGAGGTAGTTTATCTTGTTGATTAATAAAAACTTTAATTCAAAATTTAAAAAAAATCTTATTAAATAAAAGAGTAACAGCTCTAAAGGTAATACATGACACTCTTACTTTAACTACAGATTTAGCTTTAAATTTTTTTCTCTGATTATTAAAAGATCATTTCGTGAGAGAGAACGGGACAGAGAGAGGGTGTGTTGTCCACTCAACAAAACCTAGAACATTTCATAACTAATATATGGTACAGGTTTTAATACAAGTCTTTAGCAGTGTAAGGAAAGTGAAGCCTAGGAATAGAAACCACATCACTAGAGTCAATGTCAGATCTTAAGACCTCAAGCATACCCACTTCGAGAAGCAGTCATGTTAATATTGTCAAAGGAGAAGATAAAGTAAGTAAAACTTCAAACAAACTTTAGTCGAAGTAAGAGTGGCATACATATTTTACTCCCTGGCGCCAATAAAATGGATTAAAAAATCCTAAAATACATTATTAAAATAACAATAAAGGTAATAATGTCAGAAATCATTTCATGTGCCATATTTATTTTTGAACGAAATGAACACAGATTTATAAGCACAAAAGATAACAGTGATTAAATACCTATAGGTTTGTGAAGATGTTTTAGATTCTAGCAATCTTTTTATCAAGTGAATAAAATCATTTCATTCCAAGATTCTAGCAATTGCAGTCAAATTTGATTCTTTTTATCAAGTTAATAAAAACATTTCATCCAAAGAGTTCTAGCAATTGCAGACAAAATTTAAATAAACTTCAAATAATTTTAATACATACAAACATTTTTCAGCCAGTGATATGGAAGAGAATATTTTCAATTTATCATATTGTTGTAAGTATTGAAAGGGTTTGAATTATTTTTGGATGACTATTCCTGCTAGAAAGGCATCTTTCACAATAATGTAATTGGCAACCCTAATTTAAACAGATATCTAAACAAAACAAAATCTTAAGTAAGTTTAATGCATACACATGGGCCTGTTCACTGTTGCAATCAGAAGACAAATAGACATATATAACATTTTAATATCATATTGTAATTTAATATGGTAAATTAATATACTAGAATACATAAAATAAATATATACACAAATAATATCTGGCAGTATTTCAATCTAAATTCCATTAATCATTCATAGTCTGAAGTATAATCAGAGTTTATGGTCTGAAGTATAATCTATTTCTAAACTTATAGTTTATGGTCTGAGGTAACATCTATTTCTGAAATCTGCAGTAACAATAGTTCAAAGTCTGAATTATAATCTATTTTTAAAATTATATTATATAGTCTGAATTATAAGCTATTTCTTAAATCATAGTTTACAGTCTGAATTATAATCTATTTCTAAAATCATAGTTTAATCTGAATTATAATCTATTTCTAAAATCACAGTTTATAGTCTGAATTATAATCTATTTCTAAAATCATAGTTTACAGTCTGAAGTATAATCTGTTTATTAAATCATAGTTGTACTTAACCGCAACAGCCTTCATAAACACATAGATAGGTGAAGTTAACAACAGCAGCAGCTTTACAATAAGAATAGTTAATTCACAATAATGAAGACATTTATAATTATCACAGTAATAGCTCCCCTCATTCTCTCTCATTAACCCTCCTTCCCTTTTAATTTATCTGAAGTGACCGGCCATGAGCCTATATAAAACTTGGCAAAAAACAAATTCAATCAATCTTTGGTGCCAAAAAACTATTCTGATTTATTTGTTCAGCCATGAGTAGCTAAAACTTCGCAAAAACAATTCAATAGATCTTTGGTTTTGGAAAACTCTTTGATTTATCTAAAGACTCCGGCCATGAGCCCAGCTAAAACTTCGCAAAGTGTCCGACCATGAGTCTAGCTAAAACTTCGCAAAAGAAACTTGACTTAATCCATGGTTCTGGAAACCCTTTTCCCATTTTCTCAGAATTAATTGTAGATTTAAAATGTTGAATAGTATGTTAGTAATGTTCCAATCACAAAGTTTCTATAGAAACAAATCAATGTTTTTCCAAATTTTGTGAAACAGATCTAAATTTAATAAACATGGCACATAGATTGACAATGTAAATTTTTAGTTTGTAAGATGATCACAACTTTTCTAAAGAATATGGTTAGGTTTATATATTTACAAAGTTTCTACACATATTCCTGTACTGCTGCCTTCTTCACTAATAACAACTGTATCATATCAAACAGAGATTTGATCCCCTAGCGAACACAGTAATCTGGACTCGCAGTAAATTAGGTTCGGTCATTAACATCACTGTCCCATATATGTCAAGTTAATTAATAAGTAGTAATATTAATTATTAATTCACATTAAATTTGAAACGCTAATAATAAAGTTTGAGGTGTGTCTCCATCATGCCCTTACATTTAATACAACTGTTTCCATGACGACACTCTTAACACATTCTGCATTGACCAGAAGGCCTACTTCAACTTGTTTTCCAGTGACGAAAAGGTCATCAATTCACAGGAGTTTTTTAACTTAGCTTTTCTGGAAGATGGATTTCATTGTTTTCAATTCACTTTCATCCCACATCTCAGATCAACACAGAGACGTCATAGGAACAATAGTACATCCATTTGACTCCATGATTGTCAAAGGTTAGACAACTCTTTGGTACTTCTCTACTGTTCCAAATTATGGACACACAAAAGTCTACTGACACATTTTTCATTGTTTAGCACAAATTGCGGAGGGATAAAAAAACAATCACGCATAAATCGCATAATAAAAATAATCAAGTATCAACTGGTTGGTATGGAACATTGGGTAATGTTTCTGTGTAGCGTGGGTTATTTTTAAAGATATTTCGGGTTATACTGCGTGTTTCAGCATGATGCGACGCTTGCGGAGATATGCTGGTCTCCATCTGATGAACTAAAGCTGTTGTCTCTGGATGTTGATTGGCTGAATCTGAATCAGCTGGTATAACAATAATTCTCTCCTGGGGAAGAAAATAAAACACATTTAATACTTCCCTCCCATAACCCAGGTCATATTGAAACACATATGGTTCAGTTTTATTTCAATAATTAGCTAGTAGTGGGAGGACACCGGACAGATGACCCTACTCTACTCCCTGTCACAAATCGTAAACCTCGCACTTGACTCAATGACAGACCTTATGATTAGACTTAACCATTCTGCCACCTCCCACATTGATCCAGAGAGAGAGAGAGAGAGAGAGAGAGAAAGAGAGGGTATTGTCTGAACAGTATCTCATTAGCAATATTAATGTCAACATGTTGGAATGTAATATTTTCATCCCATTTGAAAGGACTGGGCACACTTGCCTCTACTCATCCCAGAACAGTATGGGCCATTTGGGAACCATTGGCCCCTGCTAAATGTTTAAAAAAAAGTTTACTGTATCAACCAACCAACCACTCAACCAACCAATCACTTTTATTATAATGGAAGAATTTCAAGGTATCAAACCAGTACCAGTACTTACCTCACTTTTATTATAGCGGAAGAGTTGCCATCCACGTAAAGATCTTGAATCTGAATTGATTGTTTCTGTACTTGTTTTTTGATAATTAGGATTTGCGTAGGTTAAAGTTGAAAATACGTCAACATTATACCGTCGTCTTCTTTGTCTACTAAAAATACAATCATGTTTGAGTACAAGGCATCATACTTTAGTCTTAGGGGCATACAATTATGGAGTTGTTCCCCGGCATTACCAAATATTTGCACACCACTGTAGGTACATCAAATAAACCATACTAAACTTAGGCTGTCTGTCTACAGTTAGCTTCGCTTGAGAACAGACACTAAGCTAGTTGATCAACATTTTTAAGTCCTAAATCGACGATTTTAGTCGAAAACACTAAGTATACTTCGAGAATTTTGAGAAGTATTTATTCTGCTTCCATTTAATGGAATTGAATAGGTTTATTTAATCTTTGTGTGTATGTCAGATTTGAAATGGAACAGATCCGCATTACAAAACAATATACTTAGTTTTGGACATGGCGGCCATTCAGGACAGAGATTTATTCTCGAGGTATGAAGTAGATGCAAATAAACCAGATATTGACAGGCTATAATAAATATTGGAAAACATTGGCTTGATGCAAATAGTATTGAAGCCAGACAAGGGGGAGGTGGAGACCGTATTATCCCAACGTGCGATGTGGGCTTTTATATTGTGGCATCTGTATACAAGTAAACCATATGAAACTGGGTTTAAAGATAATTATAAAATAACCAAGAATTAATTATAAACTACATACCGTTTCCATACAATAAAGAAGATTATAAAACCAAGTAATATTAAAATAGTTATGACGAGTAGCGCTAAATACCATCCATGTAATTTAGAATTATCTGAAAATAAAGAAAACATTTTGATCAAATCTGTAAATTCAACAATTGAAACATTCAAGATGCCAAAGCTCCTTAATCATTCTAGAATTTTAGAATTATCAGAAAATATTCCCTCCTCCTCCCGATCTTATGACAGAGAGAGAGAGAGAGAGAGAGAGAGATGGGGTTTAACGTTCACTCGACACAAGCTAGGTCATTTCGGGACTAACATATGGTTTAAATTTATTTCAATAATTCACTTGCATGTAGGAGTCTTTAAGTGGGAGGAAACCGGAGGACCTGGGGAAAACCCATGAAGTTGGACAGACGACTCTACTCCTTGTCACCTACAACCGGGGAATCAAAACCTCGCCAAATGACTCAATGACAGGCCTTATGATACAGCGTGCACGTGCTAACCATTCAGCCATCCAATCCCCCTTTATGACAGACGGTAGACAGTTCTTCTTGATCTTGTACTATATAAATTGCATTGTGTAAGAGCCAAAATGGATAATCAAGACTTAGTAGTCTTGATTGCCAAGAACAGTGTCTACGATAATAAACAATCTACTACATCTTCAAACAGTGAAAAAGTAATTTGAATGAAATTTTCAATATATTCATTGTTCATTATCTATTTTGGAACTATTAGAGCAAGAACAGCCAACTCTTTATCTAAATCTTACATAATATACTATTCAAAAAAAGTAGGGGATATTTGATTTTGGGGGCATAATACTAAAATATGCAAATGACTACGAAAAAAGTCACTATAGAACCTAACAGAAGAAACATTTCCAGTTACATGTGACGCCCAAACGCACCAATAGCTACCGCATGGAATGCAGGTGATGCTTGGGATCATCATGGGGGTCCAACCCAAGATTTGCACGACTCTGACTTTGAATGTTACAGTCATTGTGGCATTGAATTCCAGGGTGGAAACATCAGTTTAATTGTTTTAGTGACCAGAAAACAAATTTTGATATGCGTCGGCTTACCCAAAATGAAAGGTTACGTGCCCTTGGCATGCTACAGATCGGCACAACACAGGCGGTTGTGGCGCGGACGATGAATGTTTCTCAATCTGTCATAAGCAGGCTATGGTCCAGATACCGTGATACACAATCTGTACAGGACAGACCACGCTCAGGTCGACCAAGGGCGACAACTGAAGCCCAGGATCGATTTATCCGTACCTTGGCCTTGAGAAATCGTGTCATCACAGCAAATCAGATCAGCGCTCGTCTTCAAACAGACACTGGTGGGAGAGTGAGTGGCCAGACGATTCGGAATCGACTGCATAGGGTTCACCTTCGCGCCCGACGTCCTCGCGTGATCCCTTGTTTGAGAGATCATCACATTCAGGCAAGACGTCGTTGGTGTAGGGATCGTCAACACTGGGATAATCGACACTGGAGCAATGTGATGTTTTCAGATGAGTCAAGGTTCACTGTTGATTTTTTGGACAGACGTAGGAGGGTGTGGCGTCGTCGAAACGAGCGCTTCCAAGACGTTAACGTCATCAGACATTATCGATTTGGGGGTGGTTCTGTTATGGTGTGGGGAGGCATCACTGTTGCTGGAAGAACGGCTTTACATGTTGTTGCAGGGCGTGTTACAGGCCAGTACTACCGGGACAACATCTTGGCAGTCCATGTTGTGCCGTTCGCACGACGTCATGGCCGCCGTTTCATCTTCCAGGATGACAACGCAAGATGTCACAGGGCCAGGATCGTTACAGGTTACCTCCAACAACAGAACATCACCACATTACCTTGACCAGCACTGAGTCCCGACCTCTCCCCCATCGAGCATGTCTGGGACATGCTTGGACAGAGGTTACGTCAACGTCAACAACGTCCTGCCAATGTCCAAGAACATGCTGCTGCGTTGCAACAGGAATGGGACAATCTGGACCAAAATGACCTTAGACGTCTCATTAGGAGTATGCCACGTCGGATCAATGCTTGTTTGGCAAACAGAGGAGGATCTACCCGTTACTGACTTGGTTGTGATGCTGTGGTAACTTTGCTGTTTGACCCCGGGTATCATTTTACCCTTATAATGGTCAGTCTGTGCCTTACTTAGTCTAACGATCATTTGGAATAAATCGATGAATGTGAACTTCATTTCATTTTGTCATTTGTTTCTTCGTCAGTTTCATTAGGTGACTTTAATAACACTTAAAAATCAAATATCCCCTACTTTTTTTGAATAGTATATATCTTTAATGTGGTTGTAAATGGATTTGGATTGTCTGTGATTTGCAGGGGCTAAGTGAGTGGGACGCAATGACGATATTTGCATCATGGTTTTGAGTTTTGCGCCGCAAATGGCAAATAATCATGCGGTTTCAATGCTGGTTTCAACATTATTCTGCATAATGCGAAAGCAATGTCAACATATACCTCGGGTGGTGGGTCATATATACTACAAATCGACTCTACCATGTTCCACACAGCCCAGAATTACAATCTGGTTACACTGAGAAGGACAGCCACCCCACCCCCTCCCCCGCACACACATATAAATATTGTTTTTGGGGGACCTTGTTCCTCATACAAAATCATGGGACACCAAGTCCCTGGTGATTTGTCAGTTGCCCTGCACAGTCTTTATCTTTAACAATAAAACACTTTCGTCACTCACTTTGAATTGCTTTTTGACATAAACCTTTCTTGGCATCTTCATCACTACATCTACAACAATAAAGAATAAATTTATTCTTAATTACTGTATAATAGAAATAGTTTTAATTATGTTTGTAAATATATATTGAAACAAAGTGATAAGGTCATCAGCATCCTACAACCTTTGAAAAAAGTTAAGTCAAATATGTTTCCTTGGAAACACAACAAATACTCTAGGTTGATGTGTGCACAAAGTTTTGTGAAGATATTAATATTTGCTGAGATATGCTCTGGAAACAAAATCGGGATGAACGGACAGAGCCCGTTTCAAAGAATCCTGATTTTGACTCAGCCATATATACCAAAAACTAAGTCAAATTTGTATCCATGGAAACACAATAATGAGATAATCTTAGAAATTACTAATCAGCAAAAGAAACAACTACTATAATAGGTTGATATTTACGAAGGTATATCTTGAATGGTTTATGACATATGCTTCAGAAGGACAGGGCTCATCTCAATATCCGTCCCTAACTTTGTGTGGTGTGGTTTAATAACAGAGGTGGGAATTTGAGTATCTCGACTCAGACTTGACTCAGATTTAAGTTGCATGAATAACCAAAATGGGACGCAAGACTCGACACTCGTGATGACTCGCGACTGGAAAGAGCTTCGGACTCGAGTCACGCACTTAGTTTATTCGCCATTGTTTGCCGACTCATTTGATGAATTGGCAACTTGAACAAGACTCTGGCTTTGTGAAGATTTGGTACTCAACTCGGTAGTTGGACTCGACTCAGACTCGACGTGCAGCGACTTGGGTCTTGACTTTGACTTGAGGTCCCATGATTTATTCCCACCTCTAGTTAATAAAATAACATCATTGAATAACTTACCTATTTTTACTATTACCAGAATTAATATCAATATTAGCGATACCTCCTGACAGTCCATCTCCTAGAGGAACTGAAATATAAATACATGAAGAATGTTCAGACAAGGGTGATTGGTGCCATCATGTTCGGTCTATGATTGTGGGTGCCATGGGAAGGTGATAATTTTATACCTACTAGTCTTCCAATTCAAAGTACCAAGGAGTCTTTTATGTGTAGTGTAAGTCCCTGTGTGGGCCCCAATCGCTACTCATTGGGAAACAATGATTGCTGTTTGAAATTAAGCCAAAGACACTGCCAATTACAGTACAATTTTTGATATGACATCAAAATTCCAAGATGGCTGTGATGACATCATGCATGGTTCCTTTTGTACGCTTGTACTAGTTTTGTCTTGTCAAGACCATGACTTGAATACATCGTAATTCAAAGTCAGTACTTCTATTTGGTATATACCGGTACTAATTATAGTAATCTAGTGATTGATGGTTTTAACAAGAAGAATGGATACTCACATCTAAGACAAGGTCGATTGTCAGGTTCATTTGGACATTCACAGACAAAATCATTAGGTAAAGCTAAACATAGATGTGTACACCCTCCATTGTTATTACCACATTGATTAATACCTGTAAATATATTGTTACAAACCATTCATTAATACCTGTAAATATATTGTTACCATAGTTACTATGACCAACCATTTATTAATACCTGTAAGTATATTGTTACCACAGTTACTATGACCAATCATTCATTAATACCTGTTACCATAGTTACTATGACAAACCATTCATTAATACCTGTAAATATATTGTTACCATGACAATCCATTCATAAATATCTTTAAATATATTGTTGCCATAGTGAGCAAAGTTACTACAGTGACTAGTTGGTCCCATAGTAAAAACAGTTTCCATGGTGATCCGCTGTTACACTATTATTAAGTGCAGGAGGACCGCACTACAGGTAAAACAAAAATCTGGTGATGCATTGGTAAGCACAGTATAAAGTATAATACTAAACAATTGTTAACATGGTGATGAGCAAGGTGATCCACTGTTACCATGGCGAGAATAGTTACTATGGTGATATACAGTACAAACAATTGACTGTTGAGCTTGATTTTTACTGTAGTAACCTATGGTGGTACATAGTTACTGTTACTTAGTGATGGTTTGCAATAGTTTGTCACTATGGTGATATGATATATCAACAGATACATATGGTTACTTTGGTGATTTACATACCTCCTTGTCTGTCAGCTGAAACAAGATGGATGTCCATCAAACCTTCAAGATTTGACTGTACAAGATGACGATTAGTGCCAGTATCTTTGTCAGCTCTTTCTATTCTCTCTGTCTGCCAATCTGTCCAGTAAATATACTTCCCATACTGCAATTACAATATGGCAGTATTTAATATATTTATATGTACTCTAATAACGGAGGGCCTGACAAGTACAGCTGTCTAGTCCTTCAGATGATACGAAAAACTGAGGTCCTGTGTATACATTGGAATGCACGTAAAAGGTCCCTTGGCAGTTGGAATTCGATATAAGAGTAGGCGATAGTGCCGCTGCCTGGGCAAAATTTCCCTCATAGCACACCGTATGGCGTATGCCCATCTTCATTAGCCCAGGTTAGGAGCAGAACAGTAGGACGTTAAACCCCATTTCATTTCATTTCATTTCATTTCTGTACTCTAATAATTTCAATTCATGCTTCACATTGGAATCTACAGACAACAGTCCTGACATCCTTATATACAATAATTGGGAGTTTTGTTATAATTGGGACAACAATCAATGGCTTATTATACACAGGTATGTCGTTTCGCTAAGTATTAGTAAAGTAAAGGTCATTAGTTTCTTAGATAACGATAAGAGGACAATTAACGAAAAGTCGTCCTATATAATAACTGTTCTGCTATTTTCACAATCGCTAAATTCCACCAAAGGATTATATTTAAATTGAACTGATCTAAAATACTTACCACGGTTAAATTGATCAAGTCTACAATACTTATCACAGTTAAATTGATCAAGTCTACAATACTTATCACAGTTAAATTGATCAAGTCTACAATACTTATCACAGTTAAATTGATCAAGTCTACAATACTTATCACAGTTAAATTGATCACAATCTGATTAAAACAAAGATCCTATTTTACTTCGTTTTTTATAGTTCAAAATTTTGTTTTACTTGTCTTTACTACACTAGGATTTGGAAGAGTTGTTATCATTGACCTGTTCTAGATGATGTGAGGGATTAGCCAATGAAACTGTCTGTTTTGGTGAGTTCTTGGCCTTTTTCAACACGGAACTGTGGGTAAACCAGTAGAAACGTCAACGCTGATTGATTAATCAATGTCTGACGTCAAAGGGTCAAAAGCCGCTCGTCTGACCCCTGATGTGAACTATGTCAGATCTTTATGTAGTGTAGGCCATCAAAAGTATAAAAAAAACAAAATGAAATATAGATCTGTATTTTAATCAGATTGAATTGATCAAGTCCATTTTACATACCACAGTTAAACCAAATGGATGAGGAACTTTATTTATCAATGTCACACGATTTCTACCATTTAAATCTGAGGTTTCTATTTTATCAAGTTTAGCATCTACCCAGTATAAACGCTTCATCTCATAGTCTATTGATAAACCATTCGGAAAACCTACAAATAACCAAACATTCTTATAGGTTACTGATTAGAAATGATTCCACGACTGATGTCTTCTGTCTTGTTCACATTTCATTACCTGAGTAGGGTCACACGTCCAACATTGTGGGTTTTCTCCCAGTCCTCTGTTTTCCTCCAACTGCTAAAGACCCCTACGATCAAATGAATTATTGAAATAAAATTGATCCATATGTTAGTCCTGAGAGATGATCTAGTTTTCGTCAAGAGGACTTTAAAACTCTCTATTCTCTTTCTCCCCACCCCCCTCTCCTGCTCTCTCTATTTCCAAAACTTCTATTAAAGATACATTATGGGAGATTAGATAAAGAGTTGGTAGTTCTCACTACAATAGTTAAAAATACTAGATAATGTAAAGGCAATTTGCTGAAAATTTCAATCAAATTGATCCACCCTGAACCGAGAATTAAGCAATTGAATTTTGGGCCTAGTCTCGATCATCATTACTAAAGTCAGTAGGATAAAAAAAACATAGTCTCGATTATTCATTTTTTGATTTAATCAGCAGCAGCAGACCAGGTCCTAATCCAGTAAATATCGCAGGCTAGTGATGCCATCGACAGTTAATTGTGGTCTGGATAAGTTAATTAATGTCTAATTAATAATTTAGATAATATTTCAGGCCTAAAGAAAAACCTGCAATTCACAGATTTAGCTCTTGCATAATGTATGTTTAATTACATTTTTGATTTATTTATTGCCACTGCATTTGCCAAATTCACACATATAAATAAAACTGTCTTACCAAGATTATCATCATTAACTATAACTCGACGTGAGGAACCAGTTAAATACGCTTTTTCTATTTTAGGGTGAACTCCCCAATCTGTCCAAAACATCAAACTACAAATAAAAATGTTAAAATAGAGATTAAATGTCCCTGTTAAACATGAAATCAAATGTAGTTGAAAAAAATATCCAATTTTTAGGGCTTTGGATGAATGTTATATCTTGTAGGTAGGTTTCCTCTGGGTCTCATCTGTCTTCCCATCCTGATTTTCCGACGTGGTTTCCCCTTGTCAGTGGTGCAGAACGGAGGGCCTGACAAGGACAGCTGTCTAGTCCTTTGGATGAGACGAAAAAACGAGGTCCCGTGTATACATTAGAATGCACGTAAAAGATCCCTTGGCAGTTGGAATTCAATATAAGAGTAGGCGATAGTGCCGCTGCCCGGGCAAAATTTCCCTCATAGCACACTGTATGGCGTATGCCCGTCTTCATTAGCCCAGTATAGGAGCAGAACAGTAGGACGTTAAAACCCATTTCATTTCATCTGTCTTCCTCCCACTGCTAATAACCCTAATCGACAAACAGATTATTGAAATAAAATTGTATCACATGGTTTAAATAGTATTTATATCAAGACTATTATAAAATATAAAGGCTTAAAATACAGATGTGATGTCACCCTTTGATACGAGCAACTTGCCAATCTTGCCAATCGTACATTATTTATACTAGTGAAATATTGGACTCGTGTGACGTATTTCACTGTAAAGACATGTGCAGGGTGTCTGTATTTTAAGTCGTTTAATGGTCTCGAGCTTAAGACATTGCGTAATATATTGTAGAAACACTCGGGCCTCATGGCCCTCTTGCAGTTACAATGTCTCGCTCTCGACCATTAAACAATACATAAAGAACAGGATACGTATGTTAATTTGCTTTATTCTGTATAGGATGTATAATATATGTATAATATATGTATAATATATGTATAATTTCAAATAATATTTGATGCAGACAAAAACTAATAACAGTATTTTAGTTATGGTACAAATGTATTATATGATATTAGTCCTGTAATAAGTCATGGACGTTAAACTCCTGGGTCCTTATTCACGAAAACTTAACTGAGATAAAATCCAAATTTTAGTAATTTGATTGGATAATATAAGATTGATTTTAGTTCTTAGCCAATCAAAATTGAGGTATCTACTAAAATTTGGATTTTATTTTAAGTTAAAATTTCGTGAATCAGGGCCTAGTTCTCTGTGAGAAAAGAAGGGCTCCAAATAAAAACTCGAAGCTAATTACATGTTTAACTCACCCTTTTTTAGGAAAGAGAGCAATAGCTCGAGGTTCATCTAGACCTGATGATATCAGAGTTCTTCTACATGATCCATCTGTTCTGGCTACTTCTATCACATCACGTCCTACAATATACAATTGATAGCCTAAGAACAAATCCATATCAATGATACTATCCACTGCCACAACAGAATTGTTATCAAGAGGAAAATGACTATATCATTATGCCATCTGGTACAAAACATCTTAAAGTATGAATCCATATGGATTGAAACACTTTTCAGTTGCACCATTCTTGTCATTATCAGGATTAGTCTTGAAAAGCTGAATTATTTTTATCGTAACATCTCTACTCATGTGTCCTTCGAAATTTAAAATTAACTGCAACCAGTTTCGGTCTTTAATTCGTCTTAGAGCAAGTGGTTGTCATGCAGCAAATATCACAATCCCATATGACACACGTTTATAATAAATTAAGGACCGACACTAAACTAGTTTGTTGATCGTTAGGTGGGATTGAAAAGTCTCCCGCTTGAGAGAGAATCTTTTTAGATAGAAATTCCTTCAAAATCATGTGATTGACTTTTTGTAGGAGATCATACTTCACCTTTCCAAACTGATTTACAAATGTCATTTCTCAGTAACTATAGAGACTAACCTGTATCAGTCCAGTAACTATAGAGACTAACCTGTATCAGTCCAGTAACTATAGAGACTAACCTGTATCAGTCCAGTAACTATAGAGACTAACCTGTATCAGTCCAGTAAATATTTTTAGCGATCCAATCAACAGCGAGTCCATCTGTGGTAGAAAGTTGTTTCTCTATGACCGTTTCTACATTACTACCATTTAGATCAGCTCGTCTACAAATATATATCAATATATCGTACACTTAAAAAATATCAATACTTAAAATATATCAACAATTATATAAACATTTAAAATCAGGACTAAGAAGTTAAGAACAGATCCTCGGTAGCATAATATCTAATAGGGGATGGTCACAAAATTGTTTTCCTTCAGTAATATCTTACCAATTACATTTAAGAATAGATGTATTTAGAGAATGGCACTAAAAATATAAATAAAGAAACTTGTCATGCAGAAAACAAAGACACTTTCTCCAAATCACTAGAACTCCAATTGTAACCCTAATCACTTGTACCCACTGAAACTCAAATCAGATGTACCCACTAGAACTCAACTCACTGAAACGCAAGTCACCTGTACCCACAAGAACTTAAGTCACTTGTACACACTAGAACTCAAGTCACTTATACCTACTAAAACTCAAGTCATATGTACCTACTAAAACTCAAGTCACTTGTACCTACTAAAACTCAAGTCATTTATTTGTACCTACTAAAACTCAGGTCACTTGTACCCACCGAAAATAAGGTCACTTATACCCACTATAACTCGAGTCACTTGTACCCACCGAAAATAAGGTCACTTATACCCACTATAACTCGAGTCACTTGTACCCACCGAAAATAAGGTCACTTATACCCACTATAACTCGAGTCACTTGTACCCACTGAAAATAAGGTCACTTATACCCACTAGAACTCAAGTCACTTGTACTCACTGAAACTCAAGTCACTTGTACTCATTAGAACTCAAATCAATTGTACCTACTTGAGCCAAAGTTTTTTGTACCAACTGGAACTCAAATCACTTGTACCCAATCGTACCCAGACCCAACTCTGCATTTTTTTTATAGTTTAATCAAATGTGACAGGGGTCTGGAGCATTTTTAGCAATGATAAGAGCAAGAGATAAATGGGGTTTAGTGTCCACTCGACACAAACTAGGTCATTTCGGGTCTAACATGGTTATTTCAATAATCTGCTTGCGAGTAGGGGTCTTTAGCAGTGGGAGGAAACCGGAGGACCCGCAGAAAACCCACAAGGTTGGACAGGCGTCCCTACTCCTTGTCACGTATAACCCGGGAATCGAAACCACACCAGTTGACTTAACGACAGACCTTATGATACAAGGCTCAATTGCTAACCATTCAGCTATCGCACACCCCTCCCCCAGCAATATAAGATACAAGTAATAATTTCATTTTTACCTGATAACATCTAAATATACATCAGTATAATAAACTTTATTGTCTTTATAATCGTAATCAAGGGCAATGACATTGTGAAGGTCGTTGATAGGTAAATAGACGTCCGACCTGTCATCGGTATCCATGGAGATATAGCGTATATTGGCACGACTAGCAAATAATAAATATTCACTTGGCACTGAAACAAAGATGAAAGTTCTAATTAATACAGAATATCCTGTTTCACTAAAAATAATCCTGAAATTTGAAGATGGGTGATCAAAAGTTACAACAGACAATCTAGACAGACCCAGGTACACAAAAATGGCGTGGAAAAGGAGCAGCACCTCCTTGGCCACTCCCACTAAATATTGTCATATTTAGGGAGTGGGGTTTTACATAGCCTAAGCTTGTTCCTCATTCCTATTTTGATACCCTGAATAAAATTATTGGCCTAGAAAAAAAAATATGAATATCGATTGTTATTGTTTTTACAGATAATTAAGTTAACTTACTGTGAGGACATGTTTTCTTGTCATCGAGTAGAACAAGACCAGTCGGACAGGCACATGAATAACCTTGAGGTCGTGGCAAACAAAGATGGCTACATCCACCATTGTTGTTACCACAGCGATTTATATACGTTTCTGAAAAATACACAAATGATTTACAAAATATTTCATAGCAGCGAATTGATCACAATTAAATATCTCATCTTGCCTTCACTGTTGATATTTTGATATATTGCTGATTTATTAAAATATTTGGGGATCACGGTGGCTAAGAGGGTAAGACACTGGCTCGCTAGCCTGGAGGTCAGGTGTTCGATCCCTACATTGGCTGAGAAAGTTTCCCCATGTCAGTGATGCAGGACAGAGAGCCTGACAAGGACAGCTATCTAGTCATTCAGATGGGATGAAAAACCGAGGTCCTGTGTAAACATTGGCGTGCATGTAAAAAATCCCTTGACAGTTGGAATTCGATATAAGAGTAGGCCGTAGTGCTGTTGTCCGGGCAAAATTTCCCTCATAGCACACTGTATGGTGTAGGCCTGTCTTCATTAGCCCAGTTCGGAGCAGAACAGTAGGACGTTAAACCTCATTTCATTTCATTTCATTTTTAAAATATTTACACCATGGTAATAATCTCTGATACATCATCACATTGGAGATTTATAAAAAATTTTGATTTTCATGTGGTGAATTTATAGACACAAATTGAAAACATTAAAGTGATATTACATACCAACATGTTTCATATTGACTGCATGGATATCCATAATTCCGACTAAATTTTCTCTTATAATACTGATGTTCTTTCCTGTGTTTTTATTGGCTCGATTAATAGACATGGCCCTCCAGTCTGTCCAGTAGATCCAATTCCCGGAGACGGCCAGTCCATAAGGATGAGCAACTTTTGCTACGAGAACTCGGCGATAATTTCCATGTAGATCTGAACACTCAATCACCTAAACAAATATACAATCACATTAATGATCAGATTTTCCAGCATGGTTTCCCCTTGTCTTCATTTTCTGGGTTGGAGCAGAAACATAGGACTTGAAACCCCATTTTATTTCATTTCATTAATGATCATATTTCTTATTTTCTAAGTACAAAATGTTTAACAATAACATGCTGTCCTATATCATTTCTGTGGCAGATCTTATTTCAGATCTTGACAGAAATTTGGCTTGGATAATCTAATAAAAAAACAGATCTATCTTTTGTTTCATTTTTTTTATACTTTCGATAGCCTCTACTACATGAAGTTGTAGTGGTAGGTCACATCAGAGGTCATACGAGCAGCTTTTGATTCTATAACGTCAGGCATTTGATTAACCAATCAGCGTTGATGTTTCTAGTACGATACCCACAGTTCTGTCACTTCTGTGCATCGCACGCAAAGAACTCGCTGCAACTGACAGTTTTATTGGCTAATCCCTCACATCAACCAGAATGCGTGTTATATGACAACTTTTCCGGGTCCTAGTGTAACAAAGACAAGTAAAACGAAATTTTGAACTATGAAAAACAAAACAAAATAGGATCTGTGTTTTCATCAGATTGGGACTCTGCTGGTAACTGGAAAGTCACTACAAAGGTTTGTCAGTTAATAAAACATTTTTTAATATAACTAAACATGATATAACAGACCTCTGTTTTTGCATCACCCCAGATAATTCTTGAGTTTGCATAATCAACTGCAAGTCCATTTGGCCAAACCATTTGATCGGAGATTAAGATTTTTCTATTTCCACCATCCATGTCTGCTCGCTGTATGGAAGGATTTTTACCCCAATCAGTCCAAAACATATATCTACAATAAAATAAAATAAAACTTAGATGTTGTGTCAATTGATGAGCTCAACAAATACATGATAGACCAATAGAGTTAAGATCTTAAAAGGAGAGAGAGAGAGAGAAAAATGGGGTTTAACTAGATCATTTCGGGACTAACATATGGTTAATTTTATTTCAATAATAAGCCTGTGCATAGGGGTCTTTAGCAGTGGAAGGAAACCGGAAGACCAGAGAAAACCCATGATGTTGGACAGGCGACCCTAATCCTTGTCACGCACAACCAAGGAATCAAAACCACGCCAGTTGACTCAATTACAGGCCTTACGATACATCGCGCACGCTCTAACCATTCCGTCATCCAAACCCCTATTATATGACAGTGCCCCGTTAGACAAAAGTGTTAGACAAAAGTGTTAGACAGACAGGTAAGTTCACCAACTCATCAATTTCAGTCATGACTTGTACAGGCCACGAAATTTCAAATTTTGGCGTAACCAGAAAAATGGTTGCGGGTCTATGCTTTGCGTAACCATTTCCTTTGGTTACGCCAGATGACCATTGCATAACCAATTGGTTACATAAAATGGTTGCGCTGTTTTCATGTTTTATCAAGATTTAAATGGTGCTATTATTCATTTCCACTTGCAGTGAATGTATTTTTTAAAGAAATAACTTGACTAATTTATATTCTTTTATATTTAATATTATATTTTGAGGTTAAGCGTTTATGACTTTAATCCCACGGTGTCCCAATTTAAACAAAAAAACATTAGAAAAAAAATGTTCCACTTCACTAAATCCCTACATTTTAATAATGAGGGGAATCGGTTCCAAAAATTACTAATAGATTTTCGTTTTTATATCATATCTGACCTTCAAAAACCAGGAATGGTAGCTACCACATTGTTTTCGGTCACTATAGACTACATGCGTACTTCATATTACACTTGTCACTTTCAATCATTCATCCAAGCACGTAGCATGAGATAGCTTCACTCATAGGTCTCGACTGATTGACAAACAGTATTTATTATAAACCTCGGCACTCTATACTCAAAGTCTCAAAAGGAAACAGAATAGTTTGATGTCATGAAATAATATTAAAATAGACAGGACAGTAAAATCGTTTACATTATCGCTCGAGCGATGCTGGGAGAAGGGGGTCAAAGTTGACGCATACATACAGGTCATTGGTACTACAGCATGGCTATAGTGAAAACTGAAAGGAACACGTGTAGTAATTTCTTTGGAAATATAGCCGACATGTTAAAGAGTCAAACTCATTTCTCATTTTGTGTTTGAAAATCCAAAGGTACGCTTTCAATAATTTATGGCATAACTAATCATTTAAAGAATTAGGGGTGAGGGGCATTTTTAAATCAACCTGCTTGCAACTGGTCAATAGCCTACCTGGTGTCAAAATACATGATCTGTCAAAGTACCGGTAAGATGGAGAAATGAAATGCCAAGAATGAATGAATGGAGTTTGTGCTAAAATACAAATAATTTAGACCCGTGTCACAAAGTCATCCTGTATAAAAATTGATCAAATGTTTATAAATCTGTTAATGAAATTTGTTAACGTAAAAGAAATTTACGTTAGCGTAACCAGGAAATCGGTCGCACGTTTTTGAGCTGGCGCAACCGCACATAACAATTTTTTTTTTTCCGTAAAAGTAATTAATTTACTCACCCAGCATGATAATGTAAAGCTATAGCTCGTGGTCGATCTAAATCTTCCCAGAATAAAACTTTCCTCATATCTCCATCTAGACAAGCAACTTCTATTCGTTTATGACCGGCGTCTGTCCAGTATATCTTTCTCCCTACCGAATCCACGGCCAGTCCATCTGCCGTCTGTAACCCATGCTTTAACACATGTTCTCGCCGTGATCCGTCTAAATTTGATCGTGATATCGTATCTGATAAAGTATCAGTCCAGTAAACTTTTCCTAAAAAAATTTAATAAAAGCACTTTGGTTCAAAAATAATGTATCTTGAAATATTAATCTTACAGGTCATTATATAAAAGTTGTTTGCGCAGTCCATAAGGCTTGTCGCATCATTTCTTTTGTAGTTAAGTATTTACAAGAAACTAAAAACTGATTAAGAATAACAATACATTAAGTAACTGCTTGACTTCTAGTTCTGCCCTATGCTAACACTTTGGTCTCTAAGAGTGGGCAAAATATATTTCAATGTGATCAATGGTCATAACTCCCGCAGTAATTATCGGAAAACTGTGTATCAATTTAAAGGCAAGCAGATGAATTTTTAAAGATACCAAGGGCCATAACTCTGGCAGTAATCATCGGAAACCAATTGGACCTGGACTGTGTATCAGTTTAAAGGCAAACCGCTGATGACCAAAAGAATTTTCAAAGTTAGCAAGGGCCATAACTCTAGCAGTATTTATCAGAAACCAATTGGACCTGGAACACTGTGTATCAGTTTAAAGTCAATTGGATTTTAACTTTAGCCTCTGTTGACGCCAAACACCAAACAGACGGAGGTAGACAATATACAACCACATTACAATTATTTCTGTTCAAGCCTACCTTCTGCTTTATCAACATCAATAGCTATAGAGTTAGTTAACTCTCCTACTGGTATAACCACATCTGCATAGTACGGAACATCCAGTGATAACTTCCTTATATCAGCTCTTCTAGCAAATATCAGAAAATGCTGCATCTCTGTACAAAAAATAAATATCGATTTCAGAATATATCAAAGTTTTAATGCAAGATCCCTTTAATCAATGATATTTTTCTTGGGTTCAAATATCGGTTGACAACTAAGTCACACAGATTACAAAGATAAGCAAGTTCATGTCTCAAAACAACTACAAGTCACAAGGTTAAAACAACTACAAGTCACAAGGTTAAAACAACTACAAGTCACAAGGTTAAATATGCATTATATAAGAGCTAAAGCCGTCTTTTCTAGGTTTTTATTTTGGCTTCAAATGTTATATAAATTATTATTCAGACATTTATTCACATGACGACATGACGAGCCTATAATCAACTCTCTAGATCGTCGAATGCCCTAGTTTTAATTGGATTTCAACAATTGCGAAAATTAATTGGATAATCAAGTCTTGTTTGTCAAGGTACCATTGCTATAATAATGAACAATCTACACTAGATCTTATCAAGCCTTCAAACAGTCGTAACTTGGCTCAGAATAAAGTAAATTCAATGAAATTTTCACTATATTCTATTCTTGAGCTATCATAGTCAGAACAGCCAGCTCTTTATCTAAATCTTACATAATACACCTATAAACAAGCTCTTTTTCTCAAAACCAAGATAACAAACTTGGCTTGACAAGTGAAAGCCTGACTTGCCTTTAATATTCAAATAAATATTGTTTTGTATGAATTAAATATTGTTTACCTTCTTCACATGTTTTATTATCTGATTTTAACAGGATTCCAGTCGGACACGCACAGCTATGACTTGTGGGTAATGGAGCAACTAAACAAAGATGGCTGCATCCACCATTATTTTCACTGCATGTAGTAGGAACTAAAAAATGATAAAGACGATTTTAAAAATATGTAGTAACAAACAATGAACTAAAGACTTAATGATTTATTGAAATTAAGAACAGCAGCTCAATAGTTCGAGCAGTCCACAAGGGTTGTCACATATTTATTGTTTTGTAGCTAATGGGAGCATTTAAAAGACACAAAACCCGATCAAGAAAAACAACCCATTAAGTAATTAGCCTGTAGAGAGTCCAAAAGATGTTTCAAAGTTATCAAGGGCTATAAATCTTTCAGTAATTATCGGAAATAACTAGGCTTCTTCGTCTAATGAGTTTACATTTCAAGTCAATAGGATAATAACTGATGAGGTTGACAAGATTAAACAACCATATTTCAATGTGGGCGTTTCAGAACTACTTTACTGTCTAAATTATTGTCTAAATACCAATCTTATGCCCATGATCACACGATAGTCAGCAAATCAACGACAAAACATTGGCATACAAAAGTGTGGAATAGAATTCTGATTAATCAATTTGTTAATTCTTGTCTCTTTGATCGACTTCAACTTGTTCTCAAATTTTCGTTAGACTGAACGCTCTGTGCCACAGAAGGAGCAACATCTAGCAATGTTTTGCTCCAAAGTTTGTATAAGGTTGAGTAAGTAAAGTTTAATATGAATTAGCATACTAATACGATTCCCATTACCTATCACAGTAACCACCCCACTATTTCCAAGATCCTTCTTGATCAAAAATAAAGAATATTCACCAATATCTGGCAGAAAATGTCAATCCAAACACTCTCCTTAAATAATTCAAGAAAAATGGTCAGACAAAAAAGAAGAAAAGGGAGAGGGATAGAAAAATGCTATAAATACATTAATTTATGAACTACATTAGTGGGTAATAGGTGGTCTGCATCCATCTATAAAGAATTTTTGAGGTTGTCTCCCTTACTACAGTAGATTCTACTTACTCTCCTCCCTGTTTTGATGATAAACATGAATATCCATCAAATGTCCGAGATCCGACAGTAATACACCTCTCTCACGTCCAGTCTTTTTATTAGCGTAATGTATACTCTCTGTTATCCAGTCTGTCCAGTACATATAATCACCGTGTATCGCCAAACCAAATGGGTGATCTAGACCTAACTCTATCACATACTAAAATATAAAAATACAAGCAATCAAGTTTGACCATCTCCATCTCGAAGCAGAACAACCCTAGTCTGTGGAGACCAAATCCACAAACGTTATGTAGCTAATAATCTTAAAGGAGCGAAACCATTTAGTTTGGGTCACAGATATATAAATAAAGAGAATCTGGCCATCATGATCTACACACTGGGTTATGGGGAGCAAGAAATGTCACGATGTAATAAGTAACAGTCGCGTCTAAAGAGCCGAATGGTATGGGCACTACAACGTTGTTCTCTTGGTTAATCTCTATTATTTCACCTTGTGGTACCAACAGTTTTTGCCTAGACCATGGACGTAAATAAGTCATGATCGTGTACCTACAGTTTTTGGATAAATGAGTACCAACAGTTTTTGCCTAGACCATGGACGTAAACAAGCCATGATCGTGTACCAACAGTTTGTTGCCTAGACCATAGATGTAAACAAGCCATGATCGTGTACCAACAGTTTATGCCTAGCCCCTAAACAAGTCATAGCCATTATATAGCTTAATCTGTGGATCTAAAATTAAAAACGTAGACAGAAACTCAAATCACAATCCATTTAATCAAATCAACAGGTTTTTTTATGCAAGTCAAAAAGTTTTGTTCGTATTATAAAAGACTTGCGACTCATTTTGCTCTCACAGGTCACATCTGATTACCAGAATGAGGATAATCTTACCTGACGATGAAATTTACAATTTTATGATTTACCTTTCTATCTCGTCCTGTCAGTGTACTAGATTCAATAGTTTTCATACTGGCATCCGTCCAATATAATCTTTCATTATTATAATCTATTGCTAATCCATTCGGCCATGTTAGATTATCTTTAAACAATATTTTACGCTCACTGCCGTCCATACCAGCTCGCTCTATTTTAGCCTTTGAACCCCAATCAGTCCAATACATATACCTAAAATATAAAACGAATCAGTCTGTACCTAAATATATAAAACCAACCAATCAGACCAATACATATACCTAAAATATAAAACCAATCAGTCCAATAATACATATAACAAAAAACATAAAATATTAAAAAAAAACCACCCTGTTTTGTTGTGGTTATTGACAGGTGGGAACTCGAGTACTGTGACTCAGACCATGGTCCGAATTAAGTCACATCAATGACCCAATTTGCGACTTGAAATATTTTTTGTGACTCGGCAGTCGTGATGACTCACGACTTGTAAAAGTTTAGGACTCAAGTCGTGGTGAAATTGTGAAATTATCTGTGATGTCATTGTGTACAGTTAAACATGCATTATGCAAGAGCAAAATCGGCTTATTACAAGTCTTTCTTTAGGCCTGAAATGTTATCTAAATTATCAATTAGAGATTAATTAACTTATCCAGACCATAATAAAGTCTCGATGTCAAGGCTAGCCTTCGATGTTGACTGGATTACATTCCTATATGCCGTTGATAATTAAATCAAAAAAAGTGGATAATCGAGACTAAGCTGTTTATATTAATGATTTTAGTAATGATAACCGAGACTATGCCAAAATTTCACCCGCTTCTTTCTCGGCTCATAGTGGATCAATTTGACTGAAATTTTCAGCAAATTACCTTTACACTATCTAGTTTGTAACTATTATAGCGAGAACTGCCATTTCGTTATCTTATCTCCCATAACGTATCTTTAAGTTTCACGCACACATGATTAAATCACCTTAGATTGGTGCAATAATATAGCCCGGTTGGAGCTGACGTGCAATAAAACTCCATTACAACATTATTCGAGAGAATATTTCTATAACTTACCCTAACATGGGATCTACAACAATATAGCCCGACTGGAACTGACATGCCATAAAATATTACATGATTCTAGAGAATATTGCTATAACTTACCCTGACATGGGATCTACAACAATATAGCCCGGTTGGAGCTGATGTTACAACATGATTCTAGAGAATAATTCTATAACTTACCCTGACATGGGATCTACAACTATATCTCGTGGTTGATCAAATTCCTTCCATAATAAAACAGTTCTCATACTACCATCGAGATTTGACACTTCAATACGATCATTCTCAGCGTCTGTCCAATATAACTTATGGCCTACCCAATCTAACGCTAAACCAGCTGGACTTTCCAAACAATTTCCTACCACAATCTGATAAAAACAACACAGAACCAAACAATCAAACATTTTTTTCATCCTTTAATAGTATCAACACCAAGTTTGTTTTCGCATACCTACATGGAATATTTTGGGGGTAAAGTTTGTCTTTATAAAATAACATTTATTTCAATCTGATTAAAATACAGATCAATATTTCGTTTCATTTTATTATACTTTCGATGGCCTACACTACATGAAGATCTGACCAGTTATAGTGGAAGGTCGCATCAAAGGTCATGGAAGCGACTTTTGACCCTACGACATCAGACATTTGATTAACCAATCAGTGTTGATGTTTCTAGTGGGTTACCCACAGTTCCGTGCACCTCACGCCAAAATAACGCTGTAACAGACCGTTTCATTGGCTAATCCCTCACATCATCCAGAACGCGGGTTCTGCTCCGAACTGGGCTAATGAAGACGGGTCAGGTTATATAACAACTCTTCCAGATGCTAGTGTAGGAAAGACAAGTAAAACAAAATTTTGAACTATAAAAAACAAAGCGAAATAGGATCTGTGTTTTAATCAGATTGAAATAAATGGTGTCAAGATTAATATTTACTTGTCTCTCACGATTCTTTATTGCTATAAACTATAACACAAACTTATGAAAAACAGCTACTTATTTATTCAGTGATGTTTCGAAGAGTTTTCTCTCAATGCTATCAAGCCAGTCACTAATTTAATCTTGTGTATTTAGCATTTATTTTTTTCATATTCATTCAATATCAAACCTTTGATTAAAAATATGTAAAAATCATTTAAAATCACCAAAAATCATCTAATTTGTACTTCTGCCCAGTTTAAAGCTGACCATTCAATTTTGATAATGAGTGTCCAATTTACAAGTATTTAATTTCTCGATCACTGCTTAAAAATAAACAACCTAATTGATAATTGATGTATAATGCTTAATTTTTTAACAGTGGTCAGGAAATTAAAATAGTTGTAAATTAGACACACAGCTTTACACTGGACACATGTACAAATTTGATGATTTGGGGTGATATTAAATGATTTTTGGAAATTTTTAAACAAAGATTTGATATTGAATGAATGTGAAAGAAATTAGTGCTAGATACACAAGATTAAATAATACCTGGATTACAGTATATGCCTCTCAGAGATTTTTATTGCTATATTAAATCTGATTGGTCTACTTACCTCTTGCTCTGACCCATCCCATTTAGCTCGACCAATGACATCTGTGATAACATCTGTCCAATAGATATGATCGGTTTCGCTATCCCATTCTACACCAATAGATCGCGATACGTCAGATAATGGTATAACAACATCCGTTAAATCAGGCGTATCCAAGGTAACACGACGTATACCCGTCTGCGTTGAAAATAATATAAACGTGTTGATTTCTGTAAATAAATTATAAATAATATTCATTATTAGAGAAAAAAAAAGAGAGAGAAATGAAGTATAACATCCATTCTACATGAAGTAGGTCATTTTGGGACTGACATATGGTCCACTTTTATTTCAACAATTGACTTGTGCGTTGGGGTCTTCAGAAAGGGGTGGAGGACCCGGAGAAAACTCAAGAGGTTAGGCAGGCAATACTACTCCTTGTCACATACAAGTTTGGCATCAATACCATGCTACTTGACTCAATGACGGCCCTTTCTGACAAACCGACTTAAATCACACCTGAAAACAAACTATAGTAAATAAAGCAATTCAGATATCAAGAAATGAAATGAAATGGAGTTTAACGTCCTACTGTTCTGCTCCTGTATTGGGTTAATGAAGACGGGCACACGCCATACAGTGTGCTATGAGGGAAATTTTGCCCGGGTAGCGGCACTATCGTCTACTCTTCTATCGAATTCCAACTGCCAAGGGATCTTTTACGTGCATTCAAATGTTTACACGGGACCTCGGTTTTTCGTCTCATCCGAAGGACTAGACAGCTGTCCTTGTCAGGCCCTCCGTCCTGCATCACTGTCAAGGGGAAACCACGTCGGAAAATCCGGATGAACTTTCTCAGCCAATGCAGGGATCGAACACCCAACCTCCAGACTAGCGAGCCAGCGCCTTACCCACGTAGCCACCGTGGTTCCAAAATACCAATTTTTACTTGGGGAAAATATCTGCCAGTAACCTATCCTTGGGTTTTGCTGAGGGCCCAGAAATAACTCAACTGCAACCAGGCATAAACTATAGTAATTAACAGAGGGAAATATCTGCTGAACCTATGCATTGGTTTTGCCGAGGGCCCAGAAATAACTCAACTGTACCCAGGCATAAACTATAGCTAAATATCTGTTGTAACCTATGCATGGGTCTTGCCCTGAAATACTTCAATCACACCTCACATATAAACCATAGTAATTAACTCACTAGCTGTACATGTTTTATTATTCTCTGTAAGATGTAACCCAGTCGGACACGCACAACTGTATCTCTTCTGATTGGGTAAACAAAGATGGCTACAACCTCCGTTATTTTTACCACAATGATTCTCGGCTGAAATACATCAAGTTTAGTTTAAACAATTAATAAATTGACATGTCAATAATAATGATTAACCCTTAACCAGTCGATGTCTACTATAGTCACCACAATGATATTATACAGCTAAAAAGGATTTAGAATGATTTGCAAATTATAGATCAACTTATCCCCTTCAACTTTTTTATTGGTGTCAAGAGTCTATCACTTATAATTATTCGGCAGTAGTCGTTTGAAATAGGCATGACGTCAAAATGACGTCTACCGGTTAAGGGTTAAACACGCTATTTATAAAATACAACTATTTTTAAAATTGTATTTTTAAAAAAAAATTGTATTTTTAAAAAAATTGTATTTTTAAAAAAATTATATTTTTAAAAAAAAATTATATTTAAAAAAAAAAAATTGTATTTTAAATATAATTGTATAAAAAAAAAATTGTATTTAAATAAAAATTGTAGTTTAAATTGTAAATTAAAAATAAATTGGAGTCAAATTTGATACCATGAAAAAAAGGGGACGGAGATACAGGCGGAAGTACAATTCGATAATGCTCCCAGGAAAATAATCTAGATCAATTATTTAACGTTGATCGGTACAGGACAATAATCTAATTAATCTTGTAAACGTACCTGCTGGTTGTCTCTGTGGATGAAATGTGTGAATATCCATGGGAAAATGGAGACGATTTCTGACAGTCTCGATATTATTGCCAGTAAATTTATTGGCTTTATTAATACTCTTCGTATGCCAGTCCGTCCAGAATAACTCATCTTCAAATAAAGTCAAGGCAAACGGATGGGGAAGACCTGCAAAACATCAAAAATAATATATTTAGAGGGGATTGGGCGATTGAGAGGCCATTTAAGAACTAATATATGGTTCATTTTTATTTCAGTAATTCTCTAGACTCTTAGGTGTGGGAGGTACGACAGACTTTACTCAATGACAGACTTTATGATTTTAGGGCCAAGTGTAAGACTCTCCATGTAATGAACAAGTTTAACAATATTGGAGAATATGTTCACTATACTGAGCTGGACAGACATACACAGGGCTTTGGTTTCGGTCATATTCACCAGCCTTCAAAGACAGGAACTAAATTAAAGGAGCTAAGTCACTAATATTTGGGACCTGGAAATTGACACAAGTGGGTCGCAACTCATATAATACTGTAATATGAATGTATATAAACTGATATACATTCAATGGTTTCCGTTTTTACTCTAATTTCAAATCAGTTATGTTCCGCGAAATAAGCCAGCAGTCTCAATCGAATGCAAATTTCTAGCGCCTGGTTATTCCAGTCTACATACGCCGTTTGGTTTGGTGCAATATGTATAGCCTCATTCCCCTAGTCTTCTGCTAGAACTGGGGCTGAAACGCATTATGGTACACGATTCGTGTACCAATGGTAAAATGTTTATTTTGTCTTAAATATTGGATATCAGAAGCCCATCTTTTTCCGGTAAGATCACAGCATCAATGTTGATTTAAATTGACAAATAATTTGTGTTTTCAATGTTGAAGATTTTGGATGATATTGAGTTAGAGACTTAGCTACTTTAACAATCCAAAAAATTTGAATTTAAAAAAATTCAACTTTACATCTCATTAACTACCATCAAATTTATAGTTTTTATGTGTATGGGTGATCTAGTGGTTTAACACAAGGGCGTGAAATCAAAAGGTCTGTCATTGTGACGTCAAACTCTATTTCACTCTCTCATTCTTTATAAACAAAGAAGGTCAAACATCATGAAGTGAAAACATTGATCTACAACAAACTCTCATTTTGTCAAATCTTGTCAAACACTTGTCAAATCTCACCTTGGTTGATAACTGTTCGTCTGTGACTCCCGTCTAAATTAGAACACTCAATCACATGATGTTTAGCATCTACCCAATAAATTCTCTCGGCAGCGTAATCCATTGTTAAACCATTCGGCCAGAATAACGACGTATTGGCGATGATCATCCTCTCCTCACCGTCCATTGAACCTCGTTCTATTTTAGGTGTTGTTCCCCAATCAGTCCAAAATATCCACCTTTAAACAATTGTAAAGTAAATTGTATGGTAGAAAAGTAAGATTATTATAAACCCCTATTCTATTTCATTTGTTTTATTTACCAAAATACGCCCTGGGTATTTTACTTAAACGGGTCAGACAAAAAATTGTTTAAAACAAAATTCATCAACTAATTAAAGGTCAGCAACTCATTGATAGTTTGATTACAATATATATTAGAGAATCTTATAGTTTAAATT